GATTCCACCTCTTTCTCAAGTTAATTTTAAGTCTCTTAGAGTGCTTCATATTTCCAACAACCTTACCAATTTCATGCATTTTAGATTTCGGAGAATATTTGGATAGCGAGTACAAAGTAAACATGCAAGATAATTTTATGGTCTCATGTCAAAAAAATTGGGTGAGATCCTTTTTCACACCATAGTTCATTAATATAGTTTTTTAATCTTATTTTATAGGCAAATAAGTGTCATACTACATCTAACCGTGCTCATTGTTCACGCGTGTATGTGAAGTGAACTATCAGATGTAATACAAGTTATACAATACGTTACGTTAATTATGGTTTTTTTTTAATCTTATTTTATTGGATAAACTGCATTTAACCCGTTGACTTGTGGGGTTTGGAATAAATCTTTTTACTAATTTCCTTTTGTTAAAAAAATAATAATAATCTCTCAACTAACGAGGTGGGTTATTTTTTGACTTTTTGCCTAAAACACCCCTACCAAGTCAAGCTCCAGTTTCATGCCATTCATCTAACTACGTGAATATTTGGATAGAGAGTACAAAAGTAATACAAATTATACAACATGTTACATTCATTATGTTTTTTTTTTAATCTTATTTTATTGGGTAAACTACATTTAACCCCGTTGACTTGTAGGGTTTGCAATAAATCTTTTTACTAATTTCCTTTTGTTAAAAAAAAAAAATTCTCTTAACTAATGAGGTGGGTTATTTTTTAACTTTTTGCCTAAAACACCCCCACCAAGTCAAACTCTGGTTTTATGCAATTCATCTAACTATGTCCCCCTATGAAGCACGGACATGGATATGGGATACGGGTACGACACGACAAATTTTTAAAAAATAGGACACGGACACGGCGGGGATACGCCTATATATATATATATATATATATAAATTTATATTGAAAATATAATTACTAGAATCTTGTATAGATAAATAAAACAACAATAAAGAACATAATCAATTTCAATAATTTCATCTCTGTTATAAGAAAAAAAAAAATAGACAAGACAAAACAGAAAATAAATGAAAAATAAAGTTAATCCAAATTCTAAACGAAGATGTGCAGAAGAGATATAACTATAATGAACTAAATATGTATATGAATAAACATATATACTTTCAGTCTTTCACAAAGTTTTGTTCATGTAACCTAAATATATATATATATGTTGTTTATGAAGAGAGATAATTGAAGAAGAGGAGAGACTGAGAGAGGAGTGAGAGAAAATAAATTTTGTCTCACAGAAGTGTCGGACCGTGTGTCCGAACCTCGGACACGTGTGTCCAATAAAAAATAATATTTGGACACTTTACAGAAGTGTCGGACATGTGTCCGAGCCTCGGACACGGGTGTCGGTATCCGAAAAGTGTCCGACACTGGTACGGGACCCCTGGAAGGAGTGTCCGTGACCCCCCCCCCCTAATGTGTGAATTTAGTTTTTTCCTTTTCTTTTTTTTTTTTAATTAAAAAATAATATTTGAACTCATATATTTTTGTTATATGTATTCCTATACTTTTAATTAAAGAAAGATTTTTAAATTTTTGTTATTAAAAAAGTCATTGTAATGACTGCAATTGCATATAAGTTTAAATCTTATATATTATACATACAATTACTGTATTATTTATATTATATTTTTTTATTTTATACAAAACATATGTATATATATACACATATATATATGAGATGGACATTCGATAAAATAATTAGATGGATAAAATTAAATTTTAATTATAAAAATTAATTTAATGGCATAAAATAATAGACTTTTCTTTCATTTTGTTTGATTGAATAAAAAAAAAAAATTATTCAAATTTAAAGGACGTCAGTGTAGTTTTTTTAAAAAAAAATTTTTTAACTTAACTTTTATTCGTTATAATTTTATCATAATAGCAAGAAAATGAAATCTCATATCCTGTGGTCGTGGACTCCCCGTGATTCTCACGGTAGGTTGCTTTCTAAGTCAACAAGTCTTTAATGTCATTTGCTTTTTAAAATTGTTGTGCCATTAAGTGTCATCACTGGCACTGTGCAATAACTTCTCGCATTGGATTATTGGAAGACTTTAAGTCAAGTCATTAAGCATAACCATGCATGTGGGTCCATTAACACATGGACATCGGACTATTAGCGTGGTCAATTACGAGGTCACATACAAGGCTCGATTGCATTATCATCGTATAGTTCGTAGAATAATTTTGGGATCATATAATAATTTTTCATTTAAGTGGATTAAAAGTATTTAATGAATCTTTTGTTCAATGGAAGGTTCTCAGATGGTAATAAGTGGTCCAAAAGTATTCGGTAAAAGTTTCTATTTTGACACCACCAAAATATAGACTATGATGCTATGATTTCGAGCGTCGGGTAAAATATTGTGATGTATTTGTTTTATAATATGCATAATTGATTAAATTTTCATAAGAAACTTTCATCAATTATTCAATACCACCAGTCTTGAAATCAAAATGTAACTTTTTTTATTTATTTATTTTTGTTTTCAACTCCAAGTGAGTGGTTCAATTAGTAAGTTTTTGGCTCTGAAGTCTCATGAAGTATCAGGTCGGCTACGTTCGCATGTAAAAGTTTGAACTTTACTCGACTTGTAGCTTCACTTTAAAATTATGCAATTTAGCTTTAAATTTGTTTGTCGTGATTTTTATAACGACATGTTAGCATGTAGAGTCAGAAATATTCATATGGAGAAGCCAAATTAACTACTATTATTATTTTTAATTCTTCTTTTCCACTGGCAATATAATTTCTTTAAAATATGGCAATTAATTAAACAACTTAAGGGGCCTTAATTTAAGTGTAAATTAGTTTTGGGAACCAAAATTAGATGCCCCCTTAATTATTTTTTATTTTTCCTAGCAAATTAGGAAGATGAGAGATTTTAACACAAACACACTCGTTTAGGGAACTGAAGCCTCTACCAATTAGCTATTGAGGAATGCCCTATAAGCCCCTTAATTAGTGAACTAAGAACACCTAATTATTTTTTTGTGAAATTGGTGATTGGTAGACATAGTTTTCCAGTTGATTAAAGTTTTGTGGGTGGTTTCAGCATCTTCATTTCCAAATGGGCCTAAATTATACTTCTCTAGTCAATGACATAGAAAGAGAGAGAGAGAGTTATCCTAAGTGGTCCTATTTTCGTTTTGTTTTTATTTTTTATTTCTTATCAAATTCTTAAAATTTTTATTTTCCTTTATGTGCCTGGGACTCCTAGTATTATATATATATATATATATATATATATATATATAGATATGTATGTGAGTACCAAATTATTTTACAACTTCCACTCCTTAAAGTTTTCAAAATTGCTAATTAAGTAGTGAAGTTAGTAATGTGTAATTTATAGTTTACAAAAAATTTATCTGAAATAATAATAATAAATAAAGCAAAGAAAGATAATAAGCAAAATGTTATTAAAACAGATTTTTGACTTAAATGATTATAATAAAAAAGTTGAATATAGTTAATTAACTTAATTGTGGTTGCATCCATATATAATTAAGTACTTGATCCATCTTCTATATTATATTTGATATTTTCTTTGTATCTTCCTACTTTTTAAATTTATTTTATTTTATTTTATTCTAATGTTGGTGTTGTAAGTCAAGTCTTCATTCAAAGTCTTTTGATCGTTCTCAGCCTCAAAAACAGGAAAATGACACTACCCAGGCAAGTGGAAAGCATTACTAAAAATCACACTTCCATGTGGTAAAAAGTTGATACTTCCATCTTCATTTCTTGTTTTCAAATATAATTCTGATAAACTTCTCATATGGTGCTACTTAGTTCAGTCTAATAATATCAAGCAACTTCAATATATTTCTCTTTGTTCTTTTTCTAATTTTTACATTTAATGAAATCAAAATCAAAGAAAACTTAGTGGCTATATGTTAACTAATTTTTGTTTTCACCGACAAGTTTATTGACTACATTATCTAATTGGTTTAATTTCAATGGTAATTGCTTGCTAAAATTGATGACTAATGCAATTGATTATGAAAGGTGTTCACAAGCATCTGATAAGTTTTCGAATTTGAGATGTGCATCAACATGTGTCATTGTCACTTTGAAATTGTGCAATAAGCCATTCCACTGGAAGATTCTAAGTCAAGTCAATGAAGTTATTGGACATAGTCATACGGAGAGAAATTAATTATTAGATAGTTTTGGTTCATTTAATATTTTATTGACTAATTTAATAAAACTTAATATTGAGATTTCTTTATAATTTAGTTGTGGTTCTATTTTCATTTTGTTTTTATTTGTTATTTCTTGTTAAATTCTTGATATTTTTATTTTTCTTTATGTATCTAAACTACCAGTTGTATATACGGAGAGAGAGAGAGAGAGAGAGAGTCACACACACACACACACTTTGACTACCAAAAAATTTTATAGCTTCAACTCCTTAAAGTTTTCAAAATTGCTAATTAAGTACTGAAGTTAGTAATGTGTAATTTACGTGTAATTTACGGTTTACAAAACAACTAAAGCAAAAAAATATAATAAGAAAAAGGTTATACAAACAGATTTTTGACTTAAATGATTATAATAAAAAAGGTTAAATTGCATTCGTATATAATTTAGTATTTAAAGCTAAACAGATTATGTCTTTGTATTTTACTATCTTTTTTTATTGTTATTTTATGTTTTTTTTTGAAGCTAACGTTGATGTTGTAATTCAAGTTTTCCAAGACTTGTGATCATCCTCAGCCTCAAACTCAGACAAGTGGAACTTTTAGAAAATAAAAAAATCCATGTTTAATTTCTGTTATTCAAGACTTTGGTTTTGCCATTGGTGTTGACAATGAAATGAGTGAACAGTATCCCAAGTCAAATTGGATGGATCCATTATCGTGGCAGGGAAGTTTGTGGTGGGCAGTTGATCTTCATTTCTACATGGGCCCCACCCATTGGTAAAAGATCCAGAAATGAAGGTATATACAGTGTATATATATATAATGTCTGAGTTTTCTTTTACATATATGATCAACGAATTTGATATCATAAATTTGTAATCAGATAGAATTGAAGAAGATGATGATGATGATGATGAGTAGCCGCATAGCGCTTGTCACGCTTTGGCTGCTATCATTCTCAACTGCCTTATTATTATTATGTGATGGTACTTCACATGTAGTTTGCAGTGAAAAAGAAAAAACAGCTCTTCTCAATTTCAAACAATGTATCAGTTGGGATCCTTCCAACAGGCTATCCTCATGGTCCGGACTCCAACAAGATTGTTGTACTTGGACTGGAGTCCGCTGCAACAATGTTACTGGTCGAGTCATCCAGCTTCACCTCTCCAATCCATACAATCACTTTGATGATTATGAATCTTATGAAACGCAATTGTTGGGTGGGAAGATTAGTTCCTCTTTGGTGGAATTAGAATCTCTGATTTACTTGGACTTGAGTATGAACAATTTCAGTGGTTCTACTATTCCAAGTTTCTTTGGTTGTATGCCGAGTTTGAGATATCTCAACCTCTCTTATGCTTATTTTGAGGGATTGATTCCTCATCAACTTGGGAATCTCTCTGGGCTTCGTGTTCTTGATCTAATTTCTTATTATGATCAACTTTATGTTGATGACCTTAGTTGGACTGCTGGTCTTCATTCCTTGGAATACATTGACATGAGTTCGATTGACCTTGGCAAGGCGGTTGATTGGCATAGACAACTGAGCAACCTTCCTTCCCTTTCAGAACTACGTTTGTCCAACTGCAATCTCCAAGGGCCGATTTCTCATCAGCTTGCCAATCTATCGAGCCTTCGTCATCTCGATCTAGGATTTAATTTTGTACTTTATGCTGATGATCTTAGTTGGATTGAAAGCCTTCATTCCTTGGAATACCTTCACATGAGCGGTGCTGACCTTCACAAGGCAGTCGATTGGCTTCAATCGGTGAGCATGCTTCCTTACCTTTCAGAGCTGTATTTGCCCTTCTGCCAACTTGAGAAAATGATTCCACCTCTTTCTTATGTTAACTTTACATCTCTTAAATTCATTGAACTTCGTAAGAACAATTTCAATTGCAAGATACCAGATTTGTTGTTTAATTTCACTAGTAACCTTCAGTCTCTTTACCTATCCCGCAATTCCCTATATGGTCAAATACCTAGCATCATTTCAAAACTTCGCCTGTTGAGAGAGTTAGACTTGGGAGACAATCATCTAATTACAGGGGAAATCCCAGACGGGCTTGGGCAATTGAAACATCTTGAATATTTGTCACTTACGGGGAACTCATTGTATGGTCCCATTCCAGCATCTATTGGAAACTTATCGTCCTTGAGATTATTAGATCTTTCTGATAATAAATTGAGTGACACTTTTCCAAAAAGTATGGGGTTCCTCTCAAATCTTGAGAAATTATTGGTAGGTCATAATTCCTTAGGAGGCATTGTTTCCGAAGTGAATTTTGCCAAACTCTCAAAATTGAAGTATTTGTATATGTCTTCAAACTCTCTTTTCTTCAACGTGAACTCTAATTGGGTTCCTCCCTTTCAACTTGAGATGCTTAGTATGAGCTCCTGCAAAATGGGTCCAAGTTTTCCTTCATGGCTACAAACACAAGTATCTTTGTACTTATTAGACATTTCCCAATCGGGAATTTCAGGTGCAGCTCCAGAATGGTTGTGGAAGTGGGTGTCAGGTATTGATTCTATCAATCTCTCCAACAACCAGATAAATGGAGACATATCGAACGTGTTCCTAAACTATAGTTTTGTTGATATTAGTTCTAATCGTTTCGAGGGTTCATTACCACGTTTGTCTCCAAATGTTAGATATTTGAACCTTGCAAACAATTCTTTCTTTGGACCCATTTCCTCATTCTTGTGCCAAGAGATGAATGGAGAAAGTATGTTGGAGGTTCTGGATGTATCAAATAATATATTATTAGGTGAACTTTCTCATTGCTTGATGCATTGGCAACATCTGACCCATGTGAACGTGGGAAGGAACCACCTGTCTGGTAAAATTCCAAACTCATTGGGTTCGCTGAGGTTTCTCGAATCTTTGCAATTGCATGATAACAATTTCTTTGGAGAAATACCTTTATCATTGCGAAACTACACCTATTTGAGCCTCATTAATTTAGCTGGAAATGAATTTACCGGACTCATTCCGAGTTGGATTGGAGAAATTTTATACTTGCAGGCTCTCAGCTTAAGATCCAATAAATTTATCGGCAATATACCGTCACAAATATGCCAACTTTCTGAGCTTAAAATCCTTGATCTTGGGAATAATAACCTATCCGGACCGATACCAAAATGTTTGAAGAATATCACTGTGCTGACTATCACAAATTCTTCATATCATTACAGATTTGAAATTGGAGAAAGTTTTAATAATAATATTCCAACTGAATTTTATTACTACATATTTGCTAGATATGGAGTAAGTTTGAATAATTTTCCACTTGGAGTATACTACAAAGATATTCTCTCATTGGTGACAAAAGGGAGAGAATCAGAGTACAAGGAAATCCTTGGACTTGTTACGAGCATAGATCTCTCACATAATAATTTATCTGGTTCAATTCCAGATGATTTTTCTAGTCTTGATGCATTGCGATTTTTAAACTTGTCTCATAATAAAATTACGGGAAAGATACCGGAGAACATTGGGGGCATGAAACTGTTAGAATCCCTTGATATCTCGAGAAACTATATTTTGGGTGAAATTCCTCAAAGCATGTCTAATTTGACATTTCTGAGTTACTTGAACTTGTCATACAACTTCTTAAATGGAAGAATTCCTACGGGCACCCAACTTCAGAGTTTTGATGCAACTAGCTACATTGGCAATGCTAAACTTTGTGGAGCCCCTCTCAACAACAATTGCACAAGAAGAGAAGAATCTCAAGGTGGAGGTGTGACGTCAATGGAGGAAGAGGAAGAAGAGCATGAAATGGTTTGGTTTTATATTGGTATGGGTCCAGGATTTGTGGTTGGATTTTGGATTGTTTGTGGTACTCTTCTCCTCAAAAGGACATGGAGGCATGCTTATTTTCAGCTTCTTGATGATATGAAAGACCGGATCTATGTGGCTATATTGATAAAGGTGAATTGGTTCCGCAACAAGTTCAAGAGATCTAATGAAACATGAAGAACATCATCATCTTCTACAAGGTTTTGCTTCCACATTTCTTTCCTTTTAATTTTTTATTTTTTCCTTCTTGTAGTTGCTACTCTGTTCATGCTCTTTATCTATTTACTAATATACTGTACACTTGGTAGTCTATTTTTGTAGTCATGCTAATGTTATATGAATTATCACTTTAAATATATATTAACTTACATTTGCTATGCAAAAACCCTTCTAACACAAATAGATGAAAACAACAATAACCAGGAAAAGGAAATAATTTTTTTTTGAAATATCCATTTAAACCAAACCCTCTTTGATTCAGGAAAACCAAAATCATTCTGACTACTGATCAAGCCTTTGGTTTTGAAAAAGAATACCACAGACTTTGGTTTTGAAAAAGTGGACTGGTTTAGTTCTAAGTTCCCTCAGAAAAACTAGGAAGTAATTTTGTTTCAAATGTAAAGATTGTGGTTGAACAAAAATCATATTTGGTTAAATCTATTTTATTGCAGATTGCTGATACAATGAATAATTCCCTGCTGGACGTTTTGGATCAACCGGGAGCTAGATTTTGAATGTGGTTGTGGATCTGTTGTTGGTGTGATAATTTGGTTGCTTTGTTGGTTTGTTTGTCTTTCTTCTTTTCTTGACAGCAGGCTTTTTTTCTTCTAATAAGTGGTTTTCTTTTATGGTAATGTAATGAGGAGGGTATGCCTTCCTATCCAATTGTATTGTGTGGCCTGGTTGTGTTATAAAATCTGGTTTGCTTAGGAAAAACAAATGTGTGTGACTTCCAGGTTCAGAAAAGTAGAGTGAGAAGAACAAATGTGTGTAATGTGTGTGTGTGTGATTGTTGAAGAAAGTAGAGTGAGAAGAGGTCCGATTGTGAGAGAGCTCTGGAATTGCAGCCAAGAGTGATGGTGGGAAGTTCCGATTTGCTCCCGAGATAAAGGAACAGGTGAGAGTGTTTAGGGGTTTTTTTTTCTCAGAATTACTGTGTATGGCTTGCTTAATTTATCAAGGACTATGCAGCACCTTCGTTAAGAATTGTGGGGAGGTTTAGACCTAGTTCTATGTACATTTAATAATTTGAAGCTGCTACTTTATGATGGTGATTAATTGCATTTGTAAGTGCAGAAGATCAAGTAAATCATCTCTTTGTTGTAGCTGAAAACGTCATACTCAATAATTAGCAGTGTAAATAACCTTATGTTGTTACAATGCTCCTTTTGAGATGAGGGTTATTATTATTTTTTTTTTCAAATTTTTTTTTTTTCTGGTTGCAAAACCTGGGTAAAGTTTGATTTGTGCACAATAAATTTCTATGCAGATAGATAGACACAAGATTTAGCTATGTGATCGTAGGCAACAAGCAAGTAGACATGAAAAGAATTGGAAGTCATGGTGGTTGTCTCTTCAAAGATCTGAAACAAGCTCTATGTGAACATAGGTGAGTTGCACAATTTTAAACAAAGAAAAAGAAGAGCACACTTAAAAGTCACATTTATGAACAGATTGACCAAGGAAATAATACACAGTAATCTATACGCATTCATGCATGAGTTCAACAAAAAATATAAGGGTCATGCCAACATGTCTCTCAATGCTTACCACCATAGTTACTAAAACCACCTATTACATATGAATAAATGAAAATATATAACTTTACCTGTAACTACCTAAGTATTTCATTTTCCACTCCAAAATAAAAAAATCTATTTTAAATCATTTGACCCAAAACTTGTATTTTCGAATTCTATTTACCTAGAATTTAATGAACTGTATAATTCTACATATTTTACTAAAAGATTACATATATACTTAAGATATGGAATAGGAGATCTATTTTCTTGCTTAGAAAAAAATATGATATTTGCAAAAATAAAAACTCAACTCTTCTAAAACCATTTTTTTTTTTTTGGAAAGATAAATGTTAATTGCATTAGAGTAACTGTGTAAGGCCCCAAACTCCGGCCCATGTGAGGAATGATGACGCATATACAAGGCACAATTTTTTAGCTATTTTGTGTAAATAATGAAAGAACCTAGTGATGTGTCTACGAAGATCCTGTATCTCTATTTTGTAAATCCCAAACAACGTACTAAATTCAATCAATGTCTGGCTTTTAAGGTTCACCATACTTGGATTTGGATGCACTTCTCTAGCTTTGTCTGATAGGCTGAAAGAACGTATTACCTCCCTTGCCAAACAAACTAATAATATAAAAAATCTAGCTTGAGAACTAAAAAAATCACTCATAAGCACACGAAGAAGACACCAGGTTTGTCAATCTAACTTGAGAACTAAAAAAATCACTCATATAAGCACAATTCAAAACAATCTCCTCTAGGATAAAGTGTCTTACCAGTATTCTGATAATCCTAAGCTTGTTTCGTATTGCCTTGGTCATAGCTTGTCTTGTCCACCACTTAACAATGTTCACAGATTATACTCCCGCTTTGGATTGAATATATCTGTCGATGCTTCCTTCCTGCAACGTGGGAAGAACGAAATTCAAGTCTTCATATAATGCAAGACAGAAAAATGTAAAAAAGTATAGTGACCTGAACAGATTTTGCAACCTTAATCCTTTGCATTGACGTAGTTCAAAGGATTATGGAAAAAAAAAAAACAAGGAGGTTCAAGGATTACAGGAAAATAGCTCATATCCCCAAAGTTTACATTGAAGTTCCAAGAAGTCGTTTTCTGTATAGGTTGAGCAACTATGAGAAAGAGGAAAGACGAAGAAAAGTGTCCTGACCAGGTTTGAATCATCTTTACTTTTCTGTTCTTTTTCTTAACTGATTTGCTTTTACCTTTTTCTGTTATCCTTTTGAATAATTAATTCGCTGTTTAGCATAGAACACATGCCGGGAAATTAGAGAACAGTGAATATTAATGATTGCATTAATTCTAATTTAGGATAAACAAATATTCAGAAATGCTTATTTAAGTCTAACAAACACCCTATTAAACATTTTGAAACTGATTCCGATCTCTCAAGATTTATTATGATATGTGAAACATCTGAGTCTAACAAACACCCTTTAAAAGACACTGAAACCAAATCTAATCTCAAGATTTGTTACGATATATGAGAAGTTGAGAACTATCTTTTGTATGGGATTGCTTGTTAAATGGCAAGTGCATAATCTTCGAAATTATTCTGTGTCGTAATCTGCTTTTCCTAGTACATAATGACAGTAGGCACAGTCTATACTCTATAGACCTTGTTGCATCATTACAGGCAAAGTTGTCATAACCTAATGCATACCATGAAAACTGGACTAAATATTGTTTTAAGGATGGTCGTTTCGTCCCTGCCTTGAATATCCTGATTTTTTTCTCTCTTCTACATTTTGCATAATTTTTTCCAACAACTGAAGAGAACGACAGTTCATTTTCATTGTTATTAAATTATTATGTTACCATGGTTGGAAAAGTGTAACAAGTTCACAACCTGGTCCATAGAAGTGAAAAAAAAAAAAATGTCTCACCTTTTTGCCATTAACTAAACACAAACAGCAAGAAGAAGAAGGCGTAACGACCCGAACCCGGAGGTCCGAACCGTTAGCCGGGTCCTTACTCGAACCCGAGGTCATCTATGTCAAACCCATAATTTCTAATGTCAAAACATCACCCTTAAGGTCATGGTTAAGCTTTACGACTGCTCATTTCAATTTTCCAAGACTCCGGATAGATTACATTGAAGAAAGGAACAAAAAGAGCAAAACAGATGCACTTCGGTTGACCGAAGTGGAGCTTCGGTCGGCCGAAGCAACTTCCGGACCGGTTGACCGAAACAGACATTTCGGTCTACCGAAATGGGACTTCAGCCGCTCCTAAAGTCTTTGGACGAACCAGTCGACCGAAGCAGGCATTTCAGTCGACCGAAATGGCTCTGCGCGCCCCACCTACTACTGGAAAATGCTGAAATGGACTAATGATGTAGGGACCCTTTTTAAAATGCTCTAGACTTGATCTCAAAACATTTCAAGTGCTAAAACCATATACTATTGTCATGAACATCAACATTCTAACAAGACACAACATCATTAAAGTGCTTTTAAATAAGGATTCATCATAGTCATTTCTTTTTAATTTAGTTTACATCAAAATGGTGCTAAAGCACATAGTTGAAGCACTAGGCCATGATAGCAAGTTTAATTACATCCCAAAATATGCTTTTACAAAAGAATAGCTCTAAGATACAAAAGTTAACAAAATGGACTTCTAGCACCCTCAAGCTTACGGTGGATTATTATCCGCCACTTCCTCCCCATGACCTGAAAAATGTTAAATATGAAGGGGTGAGCAAATTGCTCAGTAGGTGGTGCCTAAGACACACCTCTTGTAACCCCGTGAATCCAAATAATGAATAGGAATAGAGGATAGGGGTCATACTACGCCAAGAAAGAATACAACATCAATTCCAAATTCAAAGTGAACAATGCTGTGCCATGAAATGCAATGCTATGTATGTCTGTTAGCATTTATGATACCACGATTTATGGTATAACTTACCATAATAGCCAAGATATGATAGGCCCAAATCATAGGATGTGATTTACCATATTATCTGTGAGATATGATAGCCACAAATCATGTATTTGACTTTATTTACGCATATGTCTAGGCATAGAATATGCAATGATTTGATTTAGTTTCCTTTCTTGTAATATGAGCATGTGCTCATTTTATCTATAACTACTAGAGCTGTGAATGGGTAATTTATCTCATTCAAGCCTTTACGCAATTCTCTCTTTTCTCTTCTTTTTATATATTTCTACTTGGTATCAGAGCCAACACCTTTCCACACCTTTCAGCAGCCTTGCTACTTGTGCGACAGCTACCTTAGGCTGTTTGTGACATCGTGTGACGTTGCCTACACATGTTTTTCTGTGTTGCTGTTTTGTGAACGAAAACAGGTATTTTTAAGTTTTACAATTTCTTTTTCACTCTTCTAGGATTGGGTAAATTGGGATAGTTGGTTTCCAACACCTAGAAGGGCTTGGGTAAAAAAAAAATAGTTTACAAAGAGGCTCCGAATATTAAAAAGGAGGCTGTCTGGCTATATGTAAGCGGGCAGCGCTCCTTAAAAAAGGTATGTATTTGGATTTTTCGGGAATGGTCTGAGGAGACATTGTTTATGGTCTGAGGAGACCCTTTGATTTATTAACAGAATTTGTGGTGTTTTTGGAGTTCTTTTTATTGTCGTGTGACATATTATGGCAGATTCAGGGTCCTCGACTGTTAATTCTCTTGGTTCATGTTCTGTGGGTGGTGGTGCCATTTTTCCCACCAACTCATCAAAAATCCAGGACTTCAAATCACCACAGTGAAGTTGGATGGTTCCAACTATTTGATTTGGGCACAGTCTGCCAAGATGTTCATTGGTGGCAAAGGCAAGATTGGCTATATTACTGGTTCTGAGAAAGAGCCAGCTGAGTCAGAGAAGGCATATCCACAGTGGTTTGCAGATAACGCTATGGTTATGTCTTGGCTAGTCAATTCGATGCAACCAAACATAGCTGTTGGCTATATGTTTATGAAGACTGCTAAGCAGATTTGGGATTCAGTTCAATGCACTTATTCTCAGAGGCAGAATAATGCACGAATTTTCAAGCTGGGGCGAGATATCACCAGGATTTCTCAAGGTGACTTGAAAGTTTCAGGTTACATCGCCAAGCTTCGTGCTATTTGGGAGGAGATGTCATATTATGATTCCTTCCACTCTTGGAAGGATCTAGATGATGCAGTTTTATATGCAGGAGTTGTGGAGAAGAATCGAGTGTTTCAGTTTCTTGCCGAGTTGAACGACGAGTTTGAGTATGCTCGTGTTCATTTATTGGGCTTATCTTCATTCCCGACTCTTGGGGATGCATATTCCTATGTGTTGTCAGATGAGAGCCGCCGGACTCATCCATTAGGAGTTGCTTCTGTTGATCGTTCTGCTATGGCAGTTCGGATTCCCAACCTTTCAGGAACTTCACCATCCCGGTTAGTTCAAAGCACTACCACAGGTCCTCCTCTGGGACCACAACGTGGACGGTGTGACCATTGCGAAAAAATTAGTCACATCAAATCTCGTTGTTATGCTCTACATGGACGTCCACCGTAACAAAAACAACAGCCTCGATCCTCTGCATATTCTGTTACACAACCAGTCTCGCTCTACATCTTCTGCCACAGTTACCTTGACTCAAGCTGATTTGGACAAGTTCAAGCAATTTTTCAACCAAATGGAGGCATCATCTCAGCCAACCTCCACTTATGCCCACTCAGGTACTATTGCGTCTGCACATAGTGTATCTACATCTTCAACACCATGGATCATTGATTCTGGTGCTTCAGACAATATGACTGGTATGTCCTCACTCTTCCAATCTTATAGTATCTGCTCTGGCCAACGCTAGGTCCGCCTTGCGGATGGCTCTCCATCTTCCATTGCTGGGAAGGGTCACATATCAGTTACTCCTTCATTAACTTTGTCAAATACACTTCATGTTCCAAAGTTGACTACAAATCTTATTTCTGTTAGTAGCGTTACCAAACAATTAAATTGTAGTGTAACGTTCTTTCCCTCATTGTATTTTTCAAGATCTGGTGTCGAAACGGACGATTGGCAGTGGGCGTGAAGTGGATGGTTTATACCTGTTGGATGCTCCTTTGTCATCGCAAGCACATTCAGCTTCATTTTCTAATACTGTTTCATCTAATAAAGCCCAGCTTATGCGTTGGCACATGCGTTTAGGACATATTTCTTTTGGTTATTTGAAACATTTATTTCCTTCCTTATTTTGTAACGTGGCAGTGTTAGATTTATCCTGTGAAACATGTCATATAGCTAAACATGTTCGTTCCAATTATCCTGCTAGTAGTAATAAATCTGCTTTAACACCTTTTGATCTTGTTCATTCAGATGTGTGGGGTCCTTGCCCAGTTACTTCTAGTCTTGGATTACGATATTTCGTGTTGTTCATTGATGATCACAGTTGTGTTACTTGGGTTTATCTTATGAAAACCAAAAATGAGGTATACACCATTTTTAAAAATTTTATGACAATGGTTCAGACTCAATTTGGTCGTACCATTAAAAAATTCCAATCTGACCAGGGTACAGAGTACACTTATGGGGAGGTACAACGGTTATGTATAGAATTTGGGATTGCGCATCAGCTGGCTAATGTTAAAACTCCTCAACAGAATGGTCGTTCTGAAAGAAAGAATCGCCACATCCTTGACTTAGCCAGAGCAATCTGCATTGGCATGAATGTTCCCCAGTCCTTTTGGGGAGATGCAGTTCTTACCGCTGTTTACATCATTAATAGGACTCCTTCTAGGATTCTTAACTTTGCAGCCCCACTCTCAATCTTACATCCCAATTCATCTCTATTTTTTATTCCTCCACGAGTCTTCGGGTGTGTGTGCTTTGTTCAGCAGTTGGGGCAAACTCGTACAAAGCTTGACCCCAAGGCTTTGAAATGTGTGTTTTTGGGCTATTCTCACTCTAAAAAAGGTTATAGGTGTTACCATCCTCCCAGTCGTCGGCGGTTTATATCCATGGATGTTTCTTTCTTTGAGCATGCACCATACTATAGTGGTTCAGTTGGTTCTCAGAGTGAATGGTTCCCATTGAATATAATGGATGATCACCTTCTTCCGTCTTCAACTCCTCTACCATTACCTGTTTCTTCTTCTATAATTCCTCCTCGTGATACCCCACCAGTAGGGGGAATTGTTCCTTTTTCACAGGTTTATAATCGGAGACAACAGGTACAAGCTTCTACTCCCACAATCGACTGCCCTATTCCTTCGGCACCAGCTCCGCCTTCTCAAGCTATTGTTTCGCTTGATGATCGCCCATTCCTCTTCGAAAGGATAAACGTTCTTGTACTTACCCTATTTCTAATTTTGTTTCTGATTATGCTCTCTCACCCTCCTATCGGAGTTTTCTTGTTTCTATTGCCTCGGTTCCTGTTCCTTCCAGTGTTGCAGATGCGCTAGCACAACCTCAATGGCGTGATGCTATGACAGAAGAACTACAAGCACTTGAGAAAAATCAGACTTAGGACATGGTTCCGCTTCCTATTGGACGAAAGGCTGTGGGTTGTCGTTGGGTGTTTACAGTCAAGCATAATCCAGATGGGTCAGTTGCTTGTTACAAAGCCCGATTGGTTGCCAAGGGTTATGCTCAGACTTATGGCATAGATTATCAAGAGACTTTTGCCCCTGTTGCCAAGATGAATACCATCCGTGTATTATTTTCCATTGCTGCAATTCGATCTTGGCCTCTATTTCAGTTAGATGTCAAGAATGCCTTTCTTAATGGTGATTTGCAGGAGGAGGTGTACATAGTTCCTCCTCCGGGCTTTCGTTCTCCTGCTCATTTTGGTATGGTATGTCGTCTTCGTCGTTCTCTATATGGCCTCAAGCAGTCTCCTTGAGCTTGGTCTGATCGCTTTGGCACTGCTATGCTCAAGTTTGGTTTCCATCAAAGTGCAGCTAATCATACCTTGTTTTTACGTCATTCAGGCGGTAAGACAGTTGCTCTCATTGTGTATGTCGATGATATTATTCTTACCGGCGATGATACTACCGGAATTAATGAGGTTAAGAGCTATCTTGGCCGTCAGTTTGAGATTAAGGATCTTGGTCCCCTACGATACTTCTTGGGCATTGAGGTGGCTCGCTCCAAGACTGGCATTTTCATCTCTCAACGCAAGTATGTTCTTGACTTGCTTTCTGCTTCTAGTCAGCTTGGCGCTCGTCCTACTGATACTCCGATTGAGCAGAATCATCGGTTGGCTGATTCTGAGGGGGAGTTGTTGTCAGATATTGGTCAAAATCAACAACTTGTGGGGAAGCTCATCTATTTATCCATGACTCGACCTGACATTGCTTATGCCGTGAGTGTCATGAGTCAATTCATACACTCTCCTCGTGCCCCACACCTTGATGCAGCTATTCGGATTCTTCGCTACTTAAAAGGGTGTCCAGGCCATGGTATTTTGTTTGCTAATCATGGTCACTTAACGTGTTGAGGCTTAGATAGATGTTGATTATGTAGGATCAATTTCAGATAGGAGGTCTACTTCAGGTTATTGTACCACTATTGGTGGTACCTTGGTTACTTGGCGCAGTAAGAAGCAGAATGTTGTCTCTCGATCTAGTGCAGAGGCAGAGTATAGGGCTATGGCTCTTGGGATAGGTGAGTTGCTTTGGCTGAAAACCTTGATGACAGGCTTGTGCCTTCCAGTGTCGCTTCCATTCTCACTCTACTGCGACAACAAGTCTGCCATTAGCATAGCAGCAAATCCCGGGTCAAATTTGCACTCCATTTGTCACAAGCTCTTAGCAGCTTGCAGACATTCTTACAAAGGGCGTTAGCAAGATTGTGTTTGAGAATGCATTGTCCAAGTTGGGCGTTTCAGATATCCACGCACCAACTTGAGGGGGAGTGTTAGCATTTATGATATCACGATTTATGGTATAACTTACCATAATAGCCGAGATATGATAGGCCCAAATCATGGGATGTGATTTACCATATTATCTGTGAGATATGATAACCACAAATCATGTATTTGACTTTATTTATGCATATGTCTAGGCATAGAATATGCAATGATTTGATTTAGTTTCCTTTCTTGTAATATGAGCATGTGCTCATTTTATCTACAAATACTAGAGCTGTGAATGGGTAATTTATTTCATTCAAGCCTTTACGCAATTCTCTCTTTTCTCTTCTTTTTATATATTTATACTATATCGCTCCCCATTTTTTAAAAAAAAAACCATCCTTCACTTTTCAAACTGTTAATATAACCCGTCCGTTGGTGACTCCGCAGCGACACGAGAGAAGGATTGAATATTGTTCCCAACCCTTGGTACCTCCGCGACATCATTTGGGGCCGAGATAGCTCAACCACGCGAGGGTACTCTTCCTAGTTCCCTCTAGGCTATATTAACACCACAGCCCTTTGGTGACTCCGCGGCGACCGGGTTTTCATAAAAACATTTTAATCAAAACTTCTTCCCAAAAATTCCCCTTTTTCATTTCCAACAAACCATTCCCATTTTTCCTCCCAACGCTCATGCATGGACATGTCATGCTATACATATGTATTCATCATTCTTCAACTTAAACTACACAAGAAAATTTCACATGCTCTCACGTAACATTTCTAGCAAATTAACAACAAAATGAGTATAGAAAATTAACACTTAAACATGCTTTCCATCCAAATAAAGTAATACACATAATTACATGCTTCATATACATATTTAAGCCATTTTAAAACAAAATCAACACAATCTAGCATATCAACGACAAATAGCAAGATTTTAACTCACATAAGCACAAGAATGCATGGATTAGAAACCCCTACCTCAAGGAGGATGAAAAAACTCCCAAAATGGGTCCCAAAACCGGAATCCCTAGAGTGCACTAAAACTGAAATTGCTTATATGGATGTGAAGATCTCGCCGTGCTCTCCGCTATGCCGCAAACGGCTTCCAAAAATTCCAAGTAATGAAGGAGGAATCAAGACTTGAAGTTTGCTTCCAAAACGAAAAAGAAAAAGTGAAGAACTAGAGGAGGAGAGAGTGAGTTACGGGGAGAGAGAGAGTGAGAGACCAAATGTGGTCTCTAGGCCACTAAGTATGTGAGTGGTGGGTCCCACCACCAACATTTTAAATTTTTGACTTTTCTTTTTCCACCACACATGTAAATATACAACAATTATACACATACCACATAAAACACATGATGCACATAAAATAAAATATATGATATGCAAATGGACCTAACTAAAATTCCCGTACGCGACAATACCGGTAACGGGTCACAGACAGGACCGTCCGGCCAGAAAAACGGAAAAATGCCGAAACGGCAACCCTTACATTTCAAAGAGCTCTGAACTCAATGAAATGCCCCAAACAACTCTTTGACACATCCGACACACTCTGCAGTGTCCGGTGTGCAAGATGTGAAAAGACGAAAATGCCCTTGCAACGACAAAATTCCCAGAAAAATGAAAAATGGAGAAAGTTGGAAACGTTACATAAGGCGACCGTAAAAGTAATCCAATTATGTGCTCCTCAAGCTGCCTGAAAACACATGCACAAATTGAACAAGTGACATATCCCAAGAAGGTCAAAAGGAAAAGGAAAAAAAAAAAAGATCATGGTAAAGGAAAATTTCAAAAGTATGATCTCCTTTCTAACTCTACATCCATGGTAGTTGCACAAGCAAACATATATATATATATATATATATATATATAGTTTTACTCAAAAATGCATCATAAAGAGTATAAAATCTAAAAAAAGAAATAAAAGAGAGGCCAATTATTAATTGGTAGTTGCAATTCGTAGAATGAACTGTGATCTTGTTTACTTGAGGAGTTGAGGTAATGATTTGTAAAAAATTATGACAATGAACAAGAAGATAGAAGAATAAAATGGAGTTCTATGGTAATAAAAAAATTAAGATGAGAAAGGATTTACCTTGGATGCTAATCTTATTGTTTAATATAAACATATGGGATGTGAGCAATCTTTGGCCAATCTTCCCCTATTTCTCTCTGGCATCTATCATATAAAACGTCATCACAAAATGTAATTCTCAGTTCTTGTAATGCAGCAAGCCAACGCATTCCTTCGGGCAGTGATGTCAATTTGGGGCAGTGGCGAATGGAATGTTGTTCCAGTGATGTGAGGTTGCCAATCCAGTTTGGCAGAGTAACTAGATCCTCAATTGAACCTAAAGTCAGAGACTTTAATTTGGAAAGATGAAGAAACGAAGAAGATGAATAGGATGAGGACGACGTAGACATTGTTGGGGTGTAGGACACTGTCATCATCATTAACTCTTGTTCAACTAGCTCCTTGCTGACCTTATTGAGTTGTAGTTGTTCAAGACATGGTTGCAAAGTAGGCATTGATGCCAAGTTAGGGCAATATTCAATGGTTAATTTAGAAAGAGAAGGAAACGATGGGAGCCAATAATGTTGTTGTTGATGCTGCTGCTGGTCTCGTAAAGTTGCCGTTGCTGTTGCTTCTGCTTCTACGGATTTGCTCCTACACCATCCTTTCAAATCAGGCAACCAAGAGAGTTCAAGTTCTTTGAGGGATGGAAATAATGTTGGTGTTGGTTCTGATCTTGTTCTTGTTGCTGCTCCTCCTCCTCCATTGGATGAAGATGGAGAAGAGGGTAAAGACTGCTCACTACCACTGCCACTGCCACTACTACTGTTGTCTATGTACTCCAGGGAATCCATAAAAGAAAGAGTCAAATATTGGAGAGAAGGAAGTTTCCCAAATGGTGGAAGATGTTTGAATCTGTGACAGCCATACATATAAATTGTGACTATATTTGGGAGGGATAAGCCAATTTGGTCAACCATCATCCAACTTGGGAAACTCACTCCCCCGTAATACCCTATTTTCAGCTCCTTCAGATTCGGATGTGGACGTAGGGAATCCAACGATGACTCTTCCCCATAATATAATAACAGCGACTTAAGGTATTCGTATTCTTTCCCTTCCAAGTAGTTTGTTTTCTTGATCATTTCTGCTGCTGCTGTTGCATTTTCTACACACTGACTACTTGAGTCCCGATGTGGGCGTACAATTTTTAACGTTCCCCGTAGATTGTTTAGGCTCCCCAATTCATTCAAGCCGTTGCTATTTGAGTCCACTACAAACCTTGTTAATGTTAGAAGAGACGTCAATTGCCCCAATCCATGCGGCATGCCAGTCAAGGCATCGCACTCATCAAGCTCAAGATGCCTGAGGCTGACCAATTTTTGAAAATCTCTTGGCTTCTACAAGTGTGTAACACTTATTGAGTTTTAGAGCCTGCAAATTTTGCAACTTGGTTATGGAATTTGAGAGAGTTGTGATAACATTACCACTGAGATCAAGATACCTTAAATGTTTCAGCTTGCTTATGTAACTCGGCACTGTCTTGATGTTCAACTTGGACAGATCCAACACGCGTAAACATTTATAAGTAGAAACAATCCTTTCAAAAACTGTTTCTTATAAATCTTGATTCTTCAAAATAAATGTGCGTAACTTGTTGGCTCTCATCATGTGGGTTGGAATTTCAAATAATGAATTTACAAGATAAACAAATGACACATGACGACTTCTTTCGGTAACATATTCTGCACCTGAATTCAAAGTGGAGTTCTCAAGCCTTGTCACCGATTGTGCAAGGTCGTGGACAAGATCGTGCATTTTACAACTTATTATGTCACCCCATTTATCTCTTCCAACGTCTTGAAAAAGGGACCTCCTCAGTAAATTCATAAAATACAGTTCCCCTACATCTTCCAGTTGTTGATTTTCATATCCTAACTGAATGAATCCATTTGCAACCCACAATTTGATTAATTCTCGTTTACTAATCTTTTCATCTTTCAAATATAGGGAACAAAATGCAAAACATATCTTCAGATTCGAAGGAAGGTGATCATAACTCAACTTTAGTATTGGCAAAATAACATCCTCTTCTTGAGCTATTTTCAACAAATCATTGTTTTTGAAAAGCAACCATTCAGCATCTGTATCATTAGAGTATAATAGGCTTCCTATAGCTTTTATGGCAAGAGGAACTCCCTTACATTTCTTTACAATTTCCTTCCCCATTATTACTCGACATGGATTCTCCGACTCTTCCCCTTGTTTGAATGCCAATTGCTTAAAAAAAGACCATGACTCCATCTCAGACAAGCCTTCTAAAATATACAATGAATTTGCCCTTGTAACATTTGCAACTAATTCAGTACGGGTTGTTACTAAAATCTTACTTCCCGTTGAACCACCCATCAATATATCCCTTAGTTTCAACCAATTGTAATGATTCTCATTCCACACATCATCTAACACAAGTAAATATTTTTTCCCATCAATTTTTTCCCTCAAGCGAATTTGCACATCTTCAAATGTGAGGCCTTTACAAGCTTCAATACCCATGATTTTTAGTGCAATGAGTTTCACATCAAAGGGGTCGGAAACACATACCCACATCTTAAGTTCAAAATATTTAGTGACCTCTTCATCATTGTATATTAGTTGTGCAAGTGTGGTCTTTCCTAGTCCCCCCAATCCCAACTATTGCAACAACTGACACACTCTATTGAATGTTATTGTCCAATAACATTTCTACGATACTTTTATCACCATCCCTCCCGAAAACACTTTCTGCAAGAACAAAAGAGTGAGTCTCCTCCCTCTTAGTATTCTCAACACGCAACTCTATAGGCTGTTCAATGAGGTAAAATTTTTTCCTATTTTCGGCAATTGTCACTAGTATCTTTCCAATGACCTTAATATCATGAGCCATCCAACTACTGAAAGCATATCTTTAGCCTTTTGTTCTGAGTCATATCTTGGCACCGAAGAACTTCAGTGGGGAGTCATCGAGCAAGTCATCAGCATCATAAAATGCATCATTGAGCTTTTCAAGCCAGTCTGCAACTTCACAGGTTGTGGCTTGCTGCTCCTCTGCATCAACAAGTGCTGCTCTGATCGTAGAAACCGTGTTTTCGAGTTTGTGAAGCTCACCCTTTACACCCCACGCCAGTCCGATCTCTTGGAGAACCGCTGAACCCAACTTCTTGATAATTTCAGTTACAGTGTTGTACAGAATTGTTTCAGCCATTTCTTCTTGTTGAGATGGATGGTTTATAGATTCTCTGTGGAGCTGCTGAACAAGTTATCCTCAATGTTTTATAATTGAGTGATGAAAGAAAAGTCTACCAATACAATTCATAAAAAAGAGAATGGTGGAAGTGAAGAACCATGTGGACCTCTCCAAATATTTTGAATGCTAGTATGCTCAAGTGGTCCTCATCACTGATTGCTAGAAAACAAAATGTAGAGAAAAGTCTCCATAATTGAACCCTAGTCTCCATAGTTGATTGGACAAAAGCAGAACAATGACAGCCTTCTGGACTGATTTGTGGACTTGGTTGACGAGGAATCAACTAGATTTAAATCCTATGCTGGCCAACCATATATTTGAAATAGCAATATATATACACACACATACATGTAAGCATGTGTGTGTGTAATTGACTGTGAGATATATATATATATATATATACATATTGAGGAGACTGTAAAAATATTTATTTTGTAATTGGCTAATTTCGTTGTCAAAACAAGTCCTATCGAGTTGTAATTTTTCAGTTCAAAAATTCAAGATTGAAGATCGGATGCGGATTTGAAGAAGTTCAAGTGTTCATGTTTTAATACACTCCGGGATGATGAGAACAAGGCTTTAGGAAGTTTTGTGAGTGTGTGAGAACACTTAGGAAGTTTTGAAAGTTTTTAGGGAGAAATTACATTCTGCGTAACTTGAACTAGTTCAAGAATTTTTCGAACAGGTTCAACATCTGAGGGTTCTGTGAAAAATTCAAGACTGGCCAACTTGAACCGGTTCAAGAATCAAAAGGGTTCTTCGAATTATGCACTAGCCATCTTGAACCGGTTCAAAGAATCCTGAACCGGCACAAGACTGGCCATCTTGAACCGGTTCAGCCTTTCTTGAACCGGTTCAAGAATCAAAAGGGTTCTTCGAATTATGCACTGGCCATCTTGAACCGGTTCAAAGATTCTTTGAACCGGTTCAAGACTTCTAATCAGGTTTGGTAACTTCAGTTTCCTGATCTGTTTTGATTCCTTTTTGGTCCAGATTTCCTTCTAAAACCTACACACGAATTTCACTTGTTTTACAAGTATTCTTAGGTCTTCCAAACTTTTATATAATGCCTCTTTCATTCATTATTGAGGTATGGCTTTAAGGAACAAAAATTCATTATTTTGATAAAGCCTTTAGAGAGAGATTTTTCAGAAAATCAAATTTGATTTTTCTGATTTTATTTTTTAGAGCACACACATATATTCATGAGTAACTTAGTAGTGTTGTTCTCTATCTTATCAAAATTGGAACTTAATTGAAGATTCAGATATTCCAAAAGAACAGATTTATTTCTTCTACATCAAAGTTCAAATCTTGAAGAAAAGGGGTGAAGCGATCACACTTTGAAAGGGTCAAAGCGTTCGAGGAGTGTTGTTTGATCTACCAACAATCCTTCTACAGAGATCAAGAGTAAGCCTGAAGTCAAGAGCTGTTGGACGGGACCTTGCAAAGCCAGAAGATTGTCAACGATTGGTGTTTGGTAGAACAATAGGGTGTGAGCCTGAGTCAAAGTCCATTGTACTTTGTTTCAAACATAGTGGATCGGTTTACTTTGGACTGCACAGTCCACGAGGTTTTTCCCACAACAATTGGTCTATTCTACCAATTGGGTTTCCTCGCTAAAAATCCTAGTGCCATCTCTCTAACTCTTGCTTTTCTTTTCAGTATTCATCTTTGTGATTATGGATGTTTAATTGATCATATTGCTTAGGTAATTTAATCAATCACAATAATTGGGCAAGTTGACCTAATAATCTCATCTAGGTCATTAAAGAAGTTAATAACAATTAAATCAACTAACAGCTTCCGCACCGCGTAACCTCACATTTAGAATCAAAGCGGGTTACTTGATATATTGAGTAGATCATATTTGTTGATTTGTTGTAATTTTTGCATCATGTATGAAAATATATCTTCTGTTGATATGTTGCATTTACCTTCCTTTTTTTATTCTGTCACAAGCATGCAAATTGAGTGGTCTAAGTTTAAAAAGGATTTTGAAAATTTGTTAGAGAAATTGAATCTTGCGAAACTTGATAGAGGTATTTATAAGTTAGAAGTTTCTGTTTCTAATAAAAATTTGGAAGAACTTTGCCATAAAAATTTGAATCTTCATAAGGTTGATTTTCTGGAAAAGGAACTTGAACAGGTAAAAATGTTTAATAAATCACTTGAACTTAAAATTGATAATTTAAGTACCGAGTTTGTTAAATCAAAACAGTCTTCTCAGAAATTTAACACTGACACTTGCTAAATTGATAAGTCGAACGATTCTTGTTGCTTCTCCAATTGTTGTTCTTTTATCCATTTTGCCCAGTCCCAACCTATTTCACGATACTAAGGTGTACCACAAAGACGAGGAATGCGTTCTAATTATACTTGAACCTTGAAAATGACTGTATTGCTCTTAGATGACCTTGGGTTCGGTTAAGGACCCAGATAACGATTCGGAACCCCGGGTTTGAGTCGTTACAGGTCAGCCTATATTTCTATGATAATTTTTGAAAACCTAGTTTTCGTGGACAGTTTTATAATCCCTAGTTCATAATGCCATCCGCAGTCGCCTCTCAATTTTTTCCAGAGCCACGTCAGTTTTTCCAAGAGCCACGTAAGAAACTTCTGCTCTCCAAATTTTGGCCTCACGGCCCTCACCGAAAAAAATAATGCAATATCCATTATCATGAATTAAAAACAATTACAAATAAAAAACTAAAATAGACAAAACAAGCCAAAAATTTAACAATAAAAACAACCCTATCTTTGATAATACACAAATACGTATAAAATGAAGGAAGCGAAGCTAAGAGGAATCAAACCCTGATACTGGCATTGTCGACTGCAAGAACACCCATCGTCGTCGACTGCAAGAACACGCATACCTACGGAAAATTTATTCTGATTTTCAACAAACTCAAAGGGGCAAAGAACTTGAATGAAAGGAGATTATTGGAAAAGTGTATTTAGAGAGAGATGAAGAAGAGGTAGAGAAAGAGTGTGTGTGTTTTAGAGAGAGAGATGTACACGCATACGTACGGGAGATCAGAGATGAGCACATAACACAAAAACTTCCTCTGATTTCTTCTACAGTCTTCTCTTCTTTATAACAACAATTTGGAATACCCATATGAGAACAGAGCCCAAAAACAGATATCACAATTCACATAACAAATATATGGGTTCTCAACAATTGAAATTGAAGTATTCTCAACAAACTCAAAGGGCAAAGAACTTGGATGAAAGGAGATTCTTGGAAGATACCATAAAAAATTTCAAAAAATTTGGAGCTCTCTTAAATGAAGCTTAGAGTAGAGAATGAAGAATAAAGATGTGTTGGATATGGTTTGGATGATGATAGGAGTTATTTATAACGATGAATAATTTTTTTTTTTCACATTTTTTTCAAAAGAAATAGTTGTTAAAATAGGTACATTGGCAGGTTTAAATTAGGGGGGAAAAAACACTTTTTTTTAGGTAAAAAAAATTTAAATTATTTTTTATTTATTTTGTAAGTCAATATAGTCCTTAGGCACTATTTGGGTCAATCAAATAGTGCCCGAGGACTACATTATTTATTTATTAATTTTCTAAATAAAATAAATACCAAAAAAATGGAAAAAATAGCTTTTAGGGGCAACATGGTCCTTACTGTTTGGACCGTTGCCTCCTTTTTAAAAAAATAAAAATAAAAAATAGCCGTTGCGGCACCGTTTTGCAATTGTTTATTTTTTATTTTTATTATTATTATTTTTTAATTCTAGCATCAAAACGACATCATTTTGAATAAGAATTTTAAAAAAAATATTTAAGCGATCACGTGCCAGCTCGCCAGGCCAGGCCCGTGAGCACTAGTGGGCCCGCTTCCCTTAAGCGAGCCTGCTGTGGCCCAAAATTGAGCCAGCCAGGCTCGCTAGACCAGCCCTATAACAAGAGGGCTGGATATGGCCTAACACAGCTAAAGGTTTGGTTGGGGAAAGCGTACACTACTCCTACCATATTTGCATATGCGTGGGCAGAAGCGATCTGCCTTCATAACCACAAACTTCATCCTGATAAAGATTACACCCATGTCCAGCCCAATATAATAGGATTTTAATAAATTGGCCTTATCCAATCTTCACCAAATACTTGGCCTTGTTTTTTAATTGGGTTGAATAGAAGAGGGTATTGATGGGTATAAAAGAGGTGAGGGTGTAGATGTGTGATAGTGGGGAAGTGAAGTGTGGATACATGATGGTATGGATTGGATGTGTGAATAAGCAAGGGCATGGTGTGAGGTGCGGTTGCATTGACATTTTATACATTGCATTGAATGTGATGGTGATGAGGATTATTTAAAAATTTAAGTGCCGTAAGTGAAATCTCTCGCATGACCCCACTCCTTTTTCCTATTCATTGTGTGTAAAGTATTGGATTACTTACTTTGTTTGAGGAGGTGCCACTTAGGCAATCTCTACTGAGCCGTTGTGCTCACTCCTCTACATTTGTCAGGGCTTGGGAAAGAAGTGGCGAATGACGGTTCACCACAATCTTAGTTTGGAGATTTGAAGTTCAGTTTTGCTAACTTTTGTATTTTGGAAACCCATTCTTTTGTAAAGTGTCACCATAAAAATGTATTTCTTTTGTAAAGCATGGTTGTGTACTGTAATTATGACACTTGATAATAATTTGATGTAAATTTGAGACTATGTAGATGTTTGATGTTGAATGGGCCAATGGGGGAAATGAGGTTATATTTTAAGAAATTATAAATGCCTTCCAACTGTATGTTTTGCTTTGAATTCGGAATTAGGTTGCGTATCAGGTTTTGTGCGGGTTGGCTCATAACAAGCCTAGTCTTTTTAGTGTTATCTGCTGCAGATAGCAGCTTCTCAGGGCCTGTCGGCCGGTTGACAAGGACCATCAGCCGGCTGACAGTGCAATTTTTGGTATTCCACTAGGTCGAGTCAGTGTAAATTTTGTTTCGGCCGGCTAATAAGCACAGTCAGCCGACCAAACCCCCCTTGTCAGTCGGCCGACGTTAGATGATCGGTTAGCCGACAGTCCCCTTTTCTGAAGTCCCGAGAGTATTCAACTTTGGGGATCGTTTCAGCCGACCGACCCTGTGGATCAGCCGGCTGATTACGCACTTTCAGCCAGCTGACGAAGGGCCATCAGCTGACTGACCTTTCCATTAGCTGGCTAACCCCGCCCATTGACTTGTACCTTTGACTTCTCCTTCTAAGTTGTGTTTTAGAAAGACTCTGGACCCTTGAATGATCTGTGTATCCCCAGTGAGCGTAGGAAAGGATGAAATTGCCCTTAGTTGACCTCGGGTTCGCGTAAGGACCCGGTTAAACAGTTCGGGCCCACGGGTTCGGGTCGTATAATGGAGGATGTAATCATGTGTGGCTGTGGTCACTGTTCGGTCGAGGTTGCGTTGGGTCACTAGCACAAGGTTACGAGTGACGTAGGATGTGAGATTCTTTGGATTAGGATTTTGAGGTATAGCATGTTACGTTGGGTACTCAAAGACGTACTCCGTTTTTGTATCCTTTCGTCTTTCTCTTGTAAGGTGGGTTGATTTCGGGGACAAAATCCTTTTAAATTGGGGAGATTGTAATATATCTGTTTTTCACCATTTTCCTTTTTTCGAAATTTTCTGATTTTTAAAAAGGTATTTTCGTCTTTTCTCGTTTTGCGTGCCAGACACCGTCGGGTGTGTTAGGTGTGTCCGACAGTTGGTTGGGGCATTCCATTGAGTTCAAGACTCTTGGAAATGCATCAGTTGCCATTCCGACATTTTTTCATTTTTCGAGCCGGACGGTCCCGGATGGGACCCGCTACCGGAATTGTCATGTACGGAGATTTTGTTTGGATCCATTTGCATCTCATTTATTTCATTTAATGTGATTTGTGTGGTTATAATGTAGATTGCATGTATATATATATTTTGTGGTAGAAATAAAAAGTAAAAAGATATTATGAAGTGGTGGAATGTAATTAGTGTGGCCAAGAGGCCATTTTGGCCTCTCATTCGCTCTCCCCGGCTATCTCTCTCTCTCACCCTTTTTCCTTCCATTTTTCTTTTCCTTTTTATCAAGACTTCAATCTTTGATTTCTCTCTCAATTTTGAGAAATTATTGGTGCCGTTTGCGACAAATCGGAGAGCTCAGCGAGATCTACACGTTGATGTAAACAATTCCTTGTTTGGCAACCTTGCAATTTCGAATCTAGGGCTTGAGAATTGGGGTTTTTGCATCTAAGTGAGGTAGGGGTTCCTAATTCACATGTTCTTGTACTTTTGTGAATTATTTCTTCTTAAATTATTGCCTAGCATGCTTAATTTATATAAATTCTTGCAAAAGTTGCTTAGATGTTGTATATGAAATGTGTAGTTGTGCGTTAATTGACGTCTTAAGATGAAGCATGCTTTTATGAAATAGAAATTATGCTTATCAAGCTAGATTAATGTTGAATGAAGGCTTAAAATGTGTATTTTAGAAATTTATTTTGAAAGGCATGTGTGATTTGAATGTTGATTTGAAAGGGCATGAATTTCCTATTGACATGGCATTGAAATATATGAGACATCCATAGTATGGCATTGCATTTCATGGCACGGCATTGTTTATTTTCGATTTGAAGTTATTGTATTTTCCCCGGCATAGCATGATCCCGTTGTCTTTATTTCTATTCGTTGTATGGATTCACGGGGTCACAAGAGGTGTGTCTTAGGCACCACCTACTGAGCAATTTGCTCACCTCTTTATATTAACATTTTTCAGGTCACAGAAAGAAGGTGGCGGATGATAATCCACCACAAGCATAAAGGAATTAGAAGTGTATTTTGCAACCTTTGTATTGAGAGCCATTCATTTGTAGAACTTCATGGCAAGAATGTATTCAAGTTTGTTTAACAAGGCTTTGTAAAATAACTAAGTACTCTTGACTCTATTTTGATGTAAATGGGGCTATTGTAAAGATCTTGCATATTTCTCATTTGAATGGGGAAAGAAATGTTGCATTGTAATTATTCTTGATGTATATGATCATGGAACGTAGTATGTTACTTCTCAATGTGTTTGGGACAGATTTAGATCAGTTTCCAGGGTTCCATTCAAAGCTCTTCTTCATTTTTACACTTGTAGCAATCTAGTATCTGATTCTGAGCTCGAAGGGGCCGACCATTCCAATAGCCTCAGCTACTGTTTGGGTCACAACTGGCCGACCGAAATGGCTACTTCGGTCTACCGGTTCCCGGGGGGGGGGGGGGGGGGGGGTGTCGTTTCGGCCGACCGGTGCTCTATTCCGGTCGACCAAACTGTAGCAGCTGGTAACTTTTTTTGTTCCTTCCTTGATTCATTTAAACCCCAAGCCTTAGAGAGTTGTTTTAAAGCCTTTTTAAGCATAATTAAGACTTGAGAATGATGTGTTGACCCTAGACATGATGAGTTTGACTGAGCTGACCTCGGGTTCGGGTAAGGACAATCACAGAGCATGTGGAGGAGTTTTTCTACCTGTTTCTTCATCAGCTGTTTTCCCACCATTGTGTCCGGCATTGTTTCATCTGGTTGTGGTACACTCTCCTGCAACAATTTGTGAAGTAAACTAGTTAAGATACGTCAACGAGTCCTACTAATCTTGTGAATTATGTTTTGAATCTAAGATGAAGTGATGCAGATTCAATCCACAGGATTAAGTCGAGTTGTGGTATTAAATTAATAAAATTTAGAACGATCTTGCAGTCTACAGGCAATCTAGTCCTGCATCTCTAGTGATTGTAAGATACATGTAATCTTCAACCAATATTTTCTTAATTTTCACCTCATTCAAGGTGTGGTCATACTTAAACTTTTGTCATCAAGTGAATTTCATCATTAAATAACTGATTCTAAAAACTGTCTTTACATCAGTACAAAATATAGGGAAACAAGAATATGAACGCTGACAAGGAAATGTTGTTACTTTTAGCAAAATCTAGTGAGCATTACATACGTCAAATGGCGGTAAAGATCTGAAGGTAGTGTCGGGATAATTGTTACTTTTAGCAAAATCTAGTGTTTAATGCACCGTCTGAATATCAGAAAACAAGGAAAAGTTGCAGAGAACATATCTATGAAAATTCTGAGGAGCAAAACAGCATTCCTGTTCTTGACTTGCCATACTTTTGAGCAACACAGCATTACGGTAAACTTATATTGTCAAACCACTCAGAATATCCAAATTCTGGCCTGAGAACTAATAAAATCACTCAAAAAAACAACACCAGGTTGGTCAATCATTTCCCCCATAAGGGAGGACAACCTGTATTATTAGTTGTAAAGCAAAATTCGAAAAAATCTGCTGAAGGGTAAAGCGTCTTACCAGTAATCTGATAATCCTAGACTTGTAAATGTCTTAAGGTTCACAGCTTATACTCCCACTCTGGATTGAATATCCGTGCTCCACAGAGAAGCCCATTGCTTCATTCCTGCAACATGGGAAGAAAGAAATTAAGTCTTATGCAGGCAGAAAAATGTAAAATAAAATGTATAGTGACCTGAATCAAGTTTTGGAACCTTAATCCTTAGCCTTGATCACGAGTACCAATAGAGAACAAATCTCCAGTAACTGCCTAAGATTCTTTCTCCTGACTCATCTTCATCAAACAAAATCTAGTATAGACTACTGATAATAATCCCTAAGCCTTGTCCAATTTTTTTGTGGCTGCTCACGCTTGATGGTTTTTGTAATCACCCTTTTGGCAGATTCCACCCTATTTCTCTGTAAATTTGCAGAAACTTCATATGCTGAACAAACAAGTAAAAAATTTCTATCAAGTGAGGGTAAAAAAATCCCGCCTTAAAGATCAATGTAAATTGTGATTAAGGTACGGATGATCAACAAGTTTTAATGGATTGCCTGTCAAATGGCAAGTACATAATGCTTGAAATTCTTCTATCGAAGTGACATCATATACTTTTGTTAACGCATAATGCCTCTAGGCACAGTCTATGGATCTAGTTTTATCACAATAGGCAAAGTTGCCATAACTTAATGCACATACCATGAAAACTTAAGTAAATATTGTTTTAGGTATAATAAGGCAAAAGTCGATGATTGTGGTGATCCTAAGGAGAAAGAAGTGATTAATATCACTGAAAAGGCTGCTCCTCAAGTTGATTTACAGCCTTCTATTATTAAGAACAAGAATATCACAGGATTGTTGGCTACTTCTAGAGTGACTAGAAGTGAAGGGGGTGCTTCCCATCCCCCAAATTCTGAATGATTTGTTCTTGGAATGTAAGAGGCTTGAATAAGCCTAGAAGGCAAAAAGAGGTGAGGCAATGGATTAAATCAAATGATGCTCATTTTGTCTATTACAAGAGACTAGGGTGAGAAGGTCTAAATTTGATTCTATTTCCAGAAAAATTAACAAATCTTGGAATTGGCTTCACAATTATAATTCTCATGACTTAGGCAAGTTATGGATAGGTTGGGATCCAATAATGTTTTCAGTTGCTGTGCTTTCAGAGATGGATCAAAGTATTCTTTTGCAAGTTCATATAATCCAGACTGGAGAGGTATTTTTTGTACTCCAGTGTATGCCTCTAATTATGTTACAGGTAGGAAAAGATTGTGGGATCATTTGATTATGCAAGCTACAATGGTTACTGGTCCTTGGTTTGTTGTTGGTGACTGGAATGCTACTAGATACCACCTGATAAAAAGGGAGGGCGAACAGTTCCTCAAAGACTCCTTGATAATTTTAATGAAAGCCTTCAGAAAGCAGGCCTGGTGGAATTAACTGCTTCTAATGGAAAGTGGACTTGGTGTAATAGACAGAGAAAAGATAGAAGAATTCTAGCTAAAATTGATAGGGTTTTTACAAATGATGCTTGGCTTCAGCTTTTTACAGGTACTAAAATGTCTCACTTAGCTTCTACTTCTTCTGATCATTATGGGGTCATTATCAACATCTTTAGACAATTTGCTACTGGTCCTAAGCCATTCAAAATGTTAAAAATCTGGTGTTTGCAAGAGGGTATTGTGGAAGTGATTCAAAAATCTTGGGATGATGAGGTTTCAGGGAATCCAATTCATATATTGGTCAAAAAGTTGAGAAATGTTAAGGCAGCTATAAAGTATTGGAACAAGACTACATTTGGAGATATTGCAAAGAAGGTTTTTCAATCAAAGCAGCATTTGGAAGATATTCAAGTGGACCTCTTAACTTCCCCTACAGATGTCTTATTTGATGAAGAGCAAAAAGCTAGAGACATCTATCAGGATGCTTTGTCATCTCAGGAGATTCTATATGCGCAGAAGTCAAGGATTTTATGGTTAAAGGAGAATGATCGATGTTCTGGTTTCTTTTATCATAAGTTGAAACAGCATCAACAATTCAATGCTATTACATCTATTGAAACTGATACTGGACATGTCTCTACTGATCCATCTGTGGTTAGTAAAACTTTTGTGGATTATTATCAGGATATTTACCAAGGTGCAGAGGTTGATGGTCCATTTGATATTCAAACTAGGTATCTGTTATCAGCTGAAGATCAATTGGTTTTGGATGCCCCTATAACTAATGAGGAAATTAAAGCTGTTGTTATGAATTTCAAACCTGATAAGGCTCCAGGTCCAGATGGCTTTCCTGCTCTATTTTATCTTTTTGGTCTATTGTGCAGACTGAAGTGTGTGCAGCTGTTCACCACTTTTTTAATTCAGGAAATCTGCCTACAGGGGTGAGTAGCTCCTTTCTTACTTTGATTCCCAAAGTAGGTAATGCTGCTAAGCCAAAAGACTATAGGCCTATAGCTCTTTGTAACTTAGTTTACAAAATCATTTCTAAGATTTTGGCTTTTAGACTTTCTCTGGTTTTGCCTAAATTAGTTGGATTGGAACAGAATGCCTTTATAAAAGGTCGAAAAAATCAGGATGCTATTATCATGGGGCATGAAATGGTCAGTGAATTCAAATATAAGCATCCTATTATGGCTCTGAAAGCTGATATCTCCAAAGCCTTTGATTCAGTTTCTTGGAGTTTTCTTTTAAAAACTTTGACAGCTGCTGGTTTTAGTTCCAATTGGATTAAATGGATCTCCAATCTTCTATCATCTACAAGATATTCTGTCCTCCTTAATGGCTCTCCTGGAGGATTTATTCAACCTACAAAGGGGCTGCATCAAGGATGTCCTCTTTCCCCCCTTCTTTTCACTATGGTGACTGATCAACTCACTCAATTCATTAACTCTGAAGTTGATAATGGGAGGATTAAATTATTTCATACGGCTTTGAAGGCTGGTTCTACTACATGTCACATTTTCTTTGCAGATGACCTGTTGATCACATGTAAAGCTTCCATATCAAATTCTAGATCCTTGCAAGGTTTGCTTAATATCTTTGGTGAGGCCTCTGGCTTGAAGATTAATTATCAAAAGACAAGTGTTATTTTTTCTACGGCTGTTAGAAGAAGAAGAAATATAATTGATTTGCTGCAATGCAAAGAAGAGTTGCTTCCTTTGAAATATTTAGGCATACCTTTGTGTTCCACAGGTCTAAAGAAAGCTCATTGCAATGTGCTTATCGACAAAATTTCAAAAAAGCTCACTGTTTGGAGTAACAATTTACTGTCAGTTGCAGGGAAGGCCGAGTTAATTAAGACTGTTATTACTCCAATTTGTTTATATTGGTGTAGTGTTTTTCCCTTGCCAGTTGCTGTTCTAAATCACATTCAAAAGTTGTGTAGAGACTTTCTGTGGGGCAGCAGAGAGAATATGAAGAAATTGCATCTTATGAGTTGGGATTTAATGTGTCTGTTGAAAAAGAGACATTCGGTTTTAATAAGACCAGATTTTAGGGGATATGATAGGCGTGTAAATATAGATAGACAATGACTAAGATTAGGAAATTCTGTTAGTGTACAGCCTGTAGCTTCTATTAGTGTACAGCCTGTAGCTTCTGTTAGTGTACAGCCTGTAGGCAGCCTGTAGTTTCCTTTTTTTAGCCCCTTGTATTTCCTATTTAACTAAAGCATTGTAAACCATTCAAAGTACGGCAATATACAGATTCTTTTCAATCTTGAAATCGCCTATTTGGTATCAGAGCATCTTACCGATTCTTTTGAAAAAAAACCCCTAGCCGTCTCTTTTTTTTTTTTTTTCTCTTCCAAACAACCCTAATCACCATGTTTAATGACATACCTGAGTCCAAGACCAAGACCTTTGAGTCCCAAGTCCAAAACTCTCAAACACACTCGGTCCAGATTACCACAATTCGGCTAAACGGTGAAAACTTCCTTCATTGGTCCCAGTCCGTGCGGATGTACATCCGAGGCAGAGGCAAAATCGGCTACCTAACAGGAGAAAAGAAGGAACCAAAACCTGAAGATCCATCCTACTCGACCTGGGATGCAGAGAATTCGATGGTGATGACCTAGTTGGTGAATTCTATGGAGGAGGACATCATTTCTAATTATATGTGTTACCACACAGCAAAAGAACTCTGGGACAATGTCAACCAGATGTATTCAGACCTGGGAAATCAGTCTCAAGTCTATGAACTAACGCTGAAACTCAGAGAGATCCGTCAAGGAGATAACAGTGTTACAAAATATTTCAACTCTCTAAAACGTTTGTGGCAGGACCTTGATTTATTCAGCGATTATGAGTGGAAATCGCCTGAAGATTGCAACCATTACAAAAAGAAGGTGGAAGACAACCGCATCTTCAAGTTTCTCATTGGACTCAATGTCGAGTTTGATGAAGTGAGAGGCAGAATAATTGGATGACAACCCTTGCCTTTAATCGGTGAAGTCTTCTCCGAGGTTCGAAGAGAGGAAAGTCGCAGGCTGGTCATGCTTGGAAAAAAGTTATCAAATGGTGTTGTTGAGACCTCTGCCCTGGTTGCATCTGAAGCGAATATTGGCAGGAAACATAATGAAAAGCCCCGTCTTTGGTGTGACCACTACAACAAGCCTCACCATACCCGTGAAACCTGCTGGAAAATTCATGGTAAACTAGCGAATTGGAAGAGTAAGCAGGAAGGCAGATTCAACCGAGCCCCATCAGCTCATGAAGCCGAGGCACTTCCCTTCAGCAAAGAACAGATGGATCATCTTCTAAAATTGCTGAAATTCAGTTCCTCATCTGGTACTCCTAATGCTTCTCCTACTCAAACAGGTAACAACCCGAAGGCCTTATCTTGTCGTTCAAATTCCAGTGTTACCCCATGGATCATTGATTCAAGGGCTTCTGACCATATGACAAGTTTTTTCCATTTATTTCAAACTTATTCACCCTGTTCTAGCTCTGAAAATATCAGAATAGCCGATGGTTCTTATTCTCCTATTGCAGGCGAAGGTTTGGTAAAACTTTCAAAAATTATTGATCTTAAGTCTAAATTCATGTCCCTAAGCTTGCTTATAACCTTTTATCAGTTAGTAAATTGTCCAAAGACTCTAATTGTCGTGTTATCTTTTTTGAATCCTATTGTGAATTTCAGGACTAGAGCTTGGGGAAGACGATTGGCAGTGCTAAGATGATAGATGATCTCTAATATTTTGAAGATGATATTTCAAGTAATAAAAAGGCTCAAGGTTTGAGTAGCTTTCGTTCTATCCCTGTTAGAGAACAAATAATGCTATGGCATTTTAGACTAGGGCATCCTATTTTCCCTTATCTTAAAAAATTATTTCCTTCTTTGTTTAAAGGATTGGATTGTTCATCTTTTTATTGTGAGAATTGTTTTTTATCAAAGAGTCATCGTACTACGTATTCTCCCAAACCTTACCAAACATCAAAACCATTTTATTTAATCCATAGTGATGTTTGGGGCCCTTCTAGGATCACAACTCTTTCTGGAAAAAAATGATTTGTGACTTTTATTGATGATCATACACGTTTGTGTTGGGTGTATTTAATGAATGCAAAATCTAAAGTTGAAAAATTATTCAAGGATTTTTATATGATGATTGAAAATCAATTTCAAACAAAAATTGGCATTCTTCATACTGATAACGGCACCGAATACTTTAATGAAGTTTTAGGAAGTTTTTTAACAGAAAAAGGAATTTTTCACCAATCCACTTGTGTTGACACGCCCCAACAAAACGGAATTGCTGAAAGAAAGAATAAACATTTACTTGAAGTTTCTAGTGCCATTATGTTTTCAATGAATGTTCCTAAGTATTTGTGGGGTGAAGCCGTTTTAACAACAACATATTTGATTAACAGGATGCCTACTCGTGTTCTTAACTATTTTACACGCCTTGAAAGCCTTAAAAAATCTTTTCCTAAAACTCGGATTTATTCCTACCTACCTTTGAAAGTATTTGGGTGCACTGTCTTTGTCCATTTACCTAGTAGACTTCGGTCTAAATTGGATCCTCGGGCTGAAAAATGTGTATTTGTTGGGTATGCCCAGAATAAAAAGAGGTACAAATGCTTCAATCCGAAAACAAAAAAAATATTTATCAGTATGGATGTCTTTTTTCTAGAAAATCATCCTTATTTTCAAAAAACTTTTCTTCAGGGGGAGAAAGAGAGTGAAGAAAATTTTTGGGAGATTTCTACTAATATTCCCTTACCTAAAACTATTGTCTCACACTCTATTACTCCAAACACTGATCTTTTTAAACAGGGAAATGATGTTCTAGAATCTGGAAACCCGGGGCCTCCTAGTCCGAATCTGCCGAGCCTTACTGTATCTCCAACAGGGGGAGAAATCCTACCAACGGTTCCAAAAAAACCGAATCCTGAGCTTCTGGTTTATAACAGGAAAAAGACTCATCAAAAGAGTAGAGAGCCTACTATTGTACCTGAGCAAGGCCAATCAAAGGTCCCGAGCAATGACTCCCTGAACATTCAAGGTACTCTAAATCCTAACTTGTCTACAGTTGTCTCTACTATTTCTGATCGTACAGAGTCACCTAGCCAAGTTCCTGTTGACCTTGATATCCCTATAGCTGTTAGAAAAGGAATCCGAACCTGTACCCAGCATCCCATTGCCAAATAATTGTCTTATGATAAACTTTCCCATAAACATAGGACCTTTACTTCAAATATTTCTCACTTGTTTGTTCCAAGAAACATTCAAGAAGCACTAGATGATCTGAATTGGAAATTAGCAGTGTTAGAGGAGATGAATGCTCTTAAAAGGAGTGGAACGTGGGAGATAGTTGACTTGCCCAAAGGAAAGAAAACTGTTGGGTGTAAATGGGTTTTCACTATTAAGTGTAAAGCTGATGGTAGTGTGGAAAGGTGCAAGGCAAGACTTGTGGCGAAAGGTTTTACGCAAACGTACGACATTGATTACCAAGAGACATTTGCTCCTGTAGCAAAAATAAATTCTATCCGAGTTTTATTGTCGTTGGCAATCAATTCTAACTGGCCATTACATCAATTGGACATAAAAAATGCCTTTTTAAATGGAGACTTGGAAGAAGAAGTGTTTACTGGGTTTATGAGCTTGCCACCTGGGTTCGAAGGAAAACACGGTCAGAGCAAAGTCTGTAAACTCAAAAATCCCTGTACGTTTTGAAACAGTCTCTAAGAGCGTGGTTTGAACGCTTTGGAAAGGCTGTGAAGAGTCATGGGTATCATCAGAGTCAGGCAGACTATACCATGTTCTACAAACACGGTGAGGAAGGGAAAATTGCCGTTTTAATTGTGTATGTGGATGATATAATTTTGACAGGTGATGACATTAAAGAGTTGACCAGACTGAAGAAGAAACTTGCTAAAGATTTTGAAGTCAAAGATCTGGGAGCATTAAAATACTTCCTTGGAATGGAATTTGCCAGGTCAAGAGAAGGAATTTTCGTGAATCAACGAAAATATGTACTTGATTTGCTTAATGAGACAGTACTACTCGGGTGTAAAGCTGCTGACACTCCAATTGAAGTCAACCTGAAGTTAGAAGCTGCCGAACCCGAGAATATGGTTGATTGTGAAAGATATCAGAGATTGGTGGGATGACTAATTTACTTATCTCACACACGCCCAGATATAGCATTTGCAGTCAATATGGTGAGTCAGTTCATGCACTCTCCTGGACAGGAACACTTCGAAGCAGTGTACAGGATTCTGAGGTACTTAAAGGGCTCACCAGGTAAAAGGACTTATGTTCAAGAAACAAGGTCATTTACAAGTGGAGGTGTACACAGATGCTGATTGGGCAGACAGTATAGTTGATAGACGATCTACCTCAGGATATTGCACCTTTGTTGGAGGAAACTTAGTTATGTGGCGAAGCAAGAAACAAAATGTAGTAGCGAGGAGTAGTGCAGAAGCCGAGTTCAGACCACTCGCCCATGGGATTTGCGAAGCTAGATGGTTAAAAAGACTCCTTAAAGATTTGAAGGTTATTGTTTCTCCTCCAATGAGAGTCTACTGTGACAACAAGGCTGCCATTTCAATTGCTCATAATCCAGTCCTCCACGACAGAACCAAACATGTGGAAGTTGACAAACACTTTATCAAGGAAAAGCTTGACTGTGGTATGATTTGCATTCCTTATGTCTCTACTACTGAACAAGTTGCAGACATCCTTACCAAAGGACTACACGAGACAGTTTGAAGTTTTAAAAAGTAAGCTAGCTATGGAAGACATCTACAAGCCAACTTGAGGGGGAGTGTTGAAAAAGAGATATTCGGTTTTAATAATACCAGATTTTAGGGGATATGATAGGCGTGTAAATATAGATAGTCAATGACTAAGATTAGGAAATTTTGTTAGTGTACAGCCTGTAGCTTCTATTAGTGTACAGCCTGTAGCTTCTGTTAGTGTACAGCCTGTAGTTACAGCCTGTAGTTTGCTGTTACAACCTGTAGTCAGCCTGTAGTTTCCTTTTTTTGGCCCCTTGTATTTCCTATTTAACTAAAGCATTGTAAACCATTCAAAGTACGGCAATATACAGATTCTTTTCAATCTTGAAATCGCCTATTGTGTCGACCTAAAAAGGAAGGTGGGCTGGGTATCAGAAAATTGCTTGATTTACAGCATACTTCCTAGTGCGATTTGGCTTGGAATTATTTGCAAAACTCAGACAGAATTTGGGTTCCATGGTTTAAGAACAGGTACTCCTCTACTTCTACTTATTGGAATGCAGTTCCAAAGTTTTCTCATTCAATTCTTTGGAAGAATTTGATTAATTCCAGGGATCTTATGCATCTCAATATTAGTTTTTCTATTGGTACTGGGCATAGTTTTAAGATTTTGATAGACCCTTGGTGTGAAGGCCAAACATTGATTCAGAAATTTGGTCATAGAATTGTTAGAAGGCTGGGGTTTACTTGGGATACTCCTTTGTCTAATCTTTTGGACAATGGTGAATGGAATTTGGAGCTTTTACAAGACATTATGTTTCGGCCAATTAAGGATTATGCGCAGACTTTGATTATTCATGCTAGAGCAGATCGTCTTATGTGGGATGGAGGTCCTTTTACTTTCAAATCAGCTTGGGAAAGTTGCAGACTAACTCATCCAGATGTGGATTGGTTTAAATTTTGTTGGGGAAAATCTCAACCTAGATGGTCTGTGTTTGGTGTTTTTCTGTTTCAAGATAGGCTTCCTACAATGGTAAATCTTCAGAGCAGGAAGGTGCAGTTAGCTTCAAGGTGTTCTTTATGTTTACAGGAGTGTGATACCAGAGACCATCTTTTTGTTGAGTGTTCTTATACAATTAGTTTCTGGAAATGGATTGTGGATATTATGGGCTGGAAATTTGATATTTCTTTATTTTTCACATTCGAAGACTTGCTTTACTGGTTCTCTCAACAGACCAATAAGATGATTTATTCAATTTTTGTGGCTGCATTGTGGAGCATTTGGCAAGAAAGAAACGGCAGGTTGCATGGTCATTTATTTAGACTTCCTCAAGATGCTGCTAGACAAATCTTATTTGAAGTTCTTGATATCTACAATGTTGCTATTCAAGATTTCTCTAGATAGTAATTTTGTTGATTTGCTTTGATTTGAATTTTTTCATTTTAAGAATTGTTCTTTCAATTCTTTTCTGAGGGTATGCCCTCTGTGCGCCTGTAATTATTCTTTTTCCTTTTTTATACAAACACAAATTATGAAAAATATATATATATATTGTTTTAGGTCATTTAGGCCCTACCTTGAATCAATTATCCTTGCACAATTTTTTCCAGCAACCAAGAGAATGACAGTTCATTTTTCATTGTGTTTAATGGAATTTTTTCTTAAATTATTAAGTTGCCATGGTAGGAAAAATGTAAAAAGTTCACAACCTGGTTCATAAAAGTTAAAAAATAAAAAATAAAAAATAAAATAAAAAAGGGAGAGGAAGAGAGAGAGAAGAAAAGGAAAAAGCTAATAAGATTTCTCACCTTTGATATCAAACAAGCACGAACAGGAAGAAGTAGACAGTTAAAAGTAATCCAATTATGTGCTCCTCAAGCTGCCTGAAAACACATGCAGAAATTGAACATTTGACATTTCCTAAGAAGGTGAGAAAAAAAAGAAAAAAAAAAAAATGATAACACTAAAGAAAATTTCGAAAGAATCGTCTCCTTTCTATATGTACATTCACGGAAATTCACAAGCTAAAAACATATATATCATATAAAAATAAAGGAAAGTGAGGATTAACAACATATTTCTAGTCAAAAATAAAATCTAAAAAGAAAATACAAGAGAGGACAATTACCAGCTGGGGTAATTTCAATTCCAAGAACAAAATGAGCTATCTTCTTTGTTTCAAGCAATGATTCATCCACCAAGTCCTGTGAACCTGTTCCATTTAAAAAAAAAATTAAATAAATAATCAATTGCAGTTAAATAAATAGAGAGGCAATGAACAAGTAGATAGAAGAATAAGAGTTTTATGGTAATCAAAAACTTCAGACCAAAGAGGATTTACCTTGCATGTCAATGTAATCGTGATATATAAATATTTGCGATATGAACAATTTTTGGCCAATCTTCCCCTGTTTCTTTGTGGCATCTATCATTTAACACATCAGTACAATATGTAATTTTGAGTTCTTGGAGTGTAGTGAGCCGACGCATCCCTTCGGGCAGTGATGTCAATTTGGGGCAGTAAAAAATGTGAAACTTTTCAAGTGATGTGAGGTTGCCTATCCACTCTGGTAGTGTAACTAGATTGTAAATTCTCCCAAGACTCAGACATTTTAATTTGGGAAGATGAAGAAGCAAAGAAGATGAAGAGGACAACGACATCGTCATCATTAGAAGTTGTTGTACTAGCTTCTTGCTGACGCGATCTAGATGTAGTACTTCAAGATATGGTTGCAGAATCGGGATTGATTCCAGATTAGGGCAATTAGTAATGGATAATGTGGAAAGAGTAGGAAATGATGGGAGCTATGAGGCAGTGACTTCAAATGTTGTTGGTCTGGTAAGCTTGCAATAGTACTTGTTCTTGTTGCTTCTTCTTCTGCATCGCTCCTCCACCATCCCTTCAGATTAGGCAAGTCCCAGAGTGTGAGTGTCTTCAGCAATGGGAAGAATGTTGGTGCTAGTGTTGGTTCTCTTTTTCTTGCTGCTGCTGCTTCTCCACTCGATGAAGAGAGGGACTCCACACCACAGCCAGTATTGTTGTCTATGTACTCCATAGAATCCATATCATAAAGCTTAAGATATTGGAGAGAAGGAAGTTGCCCAAACAGTGGAAGATGTTTGCATCTATGCCAGTTCTCTATATCAATATTGACTACATTTGGGATGAATAAATGAATGTCAACCATCATCCAACTTGGGGAACTCACTCCCTGATAATAATATATTTTCAGCTCCTTCAGATTGGGGTGTGGACGTAGGGTTTCCAACAATACCTGATTATCTTCATCCTTATAAAAATATACTTCCAGGATCTTAAGGTATTCTTTTTCCTCCAAGTAGTTTGTTCCATCCATTCTTTCCTCTGCTGTTGTTGCATTTTTTGAACACTGTCGGCTACTTAAGTCCCCAAGTCCAAGTATTCTAATACTTAATCTTCCACGTAGATTGTTTAGGCTTTGCAATTCATTCAACCGACTGCCATTTGAGTTGGTTACAAATCTAGTTAATGTCAAAAGAGAGGTCAACTGGCCCAATCCACACGGCATACCACTCAAATAATTACAGTAGTGAAGCTCAAGATGCCTAAGGCTGACCAATTTTCTTATATCTCTTGGCAATTCTACAAGCCTGTAACAATGATTGAGTTTTAGAGTCTGCAGACTTTGCAACTTGGTTATAGAATTTGGGAGAGTCGAGATACCACTATCACTGAGATCAAGATACCTTAAATGTTTCAGTTTGCTTATGTAACTTGGCACGGTCTGGATCTTCAACTTGTGGACAACCATCACACGTAACTTTTTAAAACTTAAAACATTTCTTTCAAAAACTGATTCATCTAAAACTTGATCCTTCTTCCAAATAAATGTTCGTCACTTGTTAGCTTGGACCAAGTGGGTTGAAATTTCCCGTGATGAATCACAAACACCAAATGACACATGACGAGTTGTTGCTGTAACATTTTCTGCTTTCGTCAAAGTGGAGTTCTCAAGCCTTGCCACCAATTGTGCAAGGTCATGGACTAGATCATGCATTTTGCAACTTATTATATCACCCCATTCATCTCTTTCAACATCTTGAAAAAGGGACCTTAGTAAATCCATAAAATACAAATCTCCCACATCTTCCAAGTGTTGATTTTCATACAATGATTGAATGAGTCCCTCTGCAATCCACAATTGGATTAATGATTGCTTATCAATCTTTTCATCTTTCACATATAAGGAACAAAATGCAAAGCATTTCTTCAGATTTGAAGGAAGATGATCATAACTTAACTTTAATATTGGCAAAATAACATCTTCTACTTGAGCTATTTTTGCCAAATCATTACTTTCGAAAAGCAACCATTCAACATCTGTATCTTTAGAGTATAGTAGGCTTCCTATAGCCCTTATGGCAAGAGGAACTCCCTTACACTTCTGTGCAATCGCTTTCTCAATTGTTAATCGACATGTATTCTCTGACTCTTCCCCATGTTTGAATGCCATTTGCTTAAACAAAGACCACGACTCCTCCTTAGACAAGCCTTTAAAAAGACATGGTGAATTTGCACCCATAACATTTGCAACTAATTCACTACGGGTTGTTACTAATATCTTACTTCCCCTAGAACCACCCATCAACAAAACTCTCAGTTCTAGCCATCTTTCACGATCCTCATTCCACACATCGTCCAACACAAGCAAATATTTCTTTCCAATAATTTCTCTCTTAAGCTTTTCTTGCAACTTATCCATGGAAAGGTTTTCAGGCTTATCGTCTGTTGCAGACTCTATGGTCTTTTCTACAATGAGTTTCACATCAAAAACATCAAATTTACACACCAACATCTTAAGTTCAAAATGTTTAGTGACACCCTCATCATTGTATGCTAATTGTGCAAGTGTGGTCTTTCCTAGTCCCCCAATTCCAACTAATGCAACAACGGACACATTCTCTCGAACGTTACCGTCCAATAAAAGTTCTATAATGGATGTTTTATCAGCATCCCTCCCAGTAACACTTTCTGCATGAACAGAAGAGTGAGTCTCCTCCCTTTTACCATTCTCAACTCGAATCTCTAAAGGTTGCTCAGTTAGGTGAAATTTTTTCCTATCTTCTGCAATTTCATCTAGTCTCTCCTTAATGGCTTTAATCTCATGAGCCATCTTAAGGCTAAAAGCAAGCTGGTTAGAGCTTGAGAAGAAAACGCCTACCTTCTTTAGCCCTTTATTCTGAGTCTTAACCTGACGCCGAAGAACTTGGGTGGAAAAGTCATCAAACAAGTCATCAGCATCATGAAGTGCATCATTGAGCATTTCCAACCAGTCTGCAATCTCATGGTTTGTGGATTGCTGCTCCTCTGCATCAACAATGACTGCTCTGATTGTAGAAACCGTGTTTTTGAGTCTGCGAAGCTCATCCTTTACCACCCACACCAGGGCGATCTCTTGGAGAACTGTCGAGCCCAACTTCTTCAGAATTTCAGTCACAGTGTTGTGGAGAATTGTTTCAGCCATTTCTTCTTGATGAGATAGATGGTTTACAGATTGTTTGTGGAGCTATTGAACAAGGATAGTCAATAGTATAATTCACAAGGAGAGAATTGGCCAGCAAAACACCATGTGCATCTCTCTAAACAATTCTCAAAAAGAAAATTGGCCAGCAAAACACCATGTGCACCTCTCCAAATTAGGCGTAAACTCCGCCATTGAATTGATGATGATATTAATTTAATACTCGAAACTAATTAGGCGAGTGATTGACTATAATATTCATGATCTAGTTGTTTATTCATGTAAACACAATACATTGTTTTTGTGTCTCAAATTTCAACTCATATAAATAATACTATACAATCAAATGTAGAATTATATATATATATATATATATATATATATATATATATATATATATATATCAGTTCAATGTAATCTGAAACAAATACACAGAAACGTGTACCCATGAATAAATATATGTGTGTGCGCGTTGTGTGTGGGTGTGAAAATTCAAGATTGTACTTTGAAATGGAAGAGAGGGGTTTTGAATGGGGGATTAGGGTTTTGGGTTTTGGGTTTTGTTGGATACCATTTTGGAGGCAGAGAAGAGGCAACGATCGCTGAGCTGACGTAATACAGTTCGAAGCTCATTCCTGCAACTCTCTCTCGCGCCCATCCAACTCTCTCTCAACCGCAGTTGGTACTACTCCGAAAGACACAGATGATTTATCTTTCGACAAAAAAACAAAAAAACAAAAAAAAAAGAAGACACAGATGATTTGCGTGGTAAATTGCTGAAAAAATAAAATAAAAAATACTGTAGTAGAATTGGGCATTGGGTAACTTTTTGAAATACAAGTAGGTTAGTTTATCAATCAATTTTTTGTAAGTGAAAAAGTTTTCCTAAGAACATTATGGAAGTTCTTTATCAGGACGAAATTAAAAATATATATATATATATATATTTTTAATTTTTTATCATTAGCATATTTAGTTCTTGAATGACAATAGAAAGATAAACTCATTGATATGGACACTAGAAAGACCATAAATTTGCTTATCTTTTACAAATATGAATCTGATATTTTTAATTATTCATATGCCATAATCTAGTCACCCCACTTATTCTTTAGAAAAGATTTTTTTTTTTTTTTTTTTAAGTAAAATATATATATTTAATTTTTGATAAAAATGTAGGTCGAATTTATTTTGTGGGGTTAATGAGTTAATTATAGTTATTTGTTAGATTTTTTTAGTTTACAACAACCAAATACTAAAAACATAAATTTTTAAAAAAAATTATATCCAAACAAACAGATCCTATGTTAACAAAACGGTAATTAGAGTGTATCTTCAAAAACACACTCTCGAATTATGCAAGCATACACTGAAATGCTTGAAATTTTTTGAAGGATATGCATAAAATAAGATTAGGCATCTCCACCATAGTTCAAAAAGATTTCAATTCATGCCGGAAACGTGTCCATAGGTATACAACAAGTGTCAGACTGTTGGCTTGAAGCAGACATTTGGCAACATATTTTTTAAGATTAGACTTGAGTACATAGCTATGAGAATGATTTAGAATGATCCCTATCATGTTGTTCCAAGCAAACATAACCGTCCCAAGCATGCGACCAGGGACGAACCCAAGGGCCCATGTGAGGCCCAGTGGGGAATTTTAAAATTTTTTATTTTTACCTAGAAAATTTGGGGTAAATATATAAATGCCCCATAACTTTATCCTTTTACCCCACTGATTTTTTTCTTCTCTCACTCGTGCCCTCATTATTGTTTAAAATCACACCCACTAAAAGAAATTTCTAGGTCGTCACTGCATGAGACTAAACATTTTTCTCCTGAACATGCCTACAAATGGTGACAGTCTAGTAAATAGAACACGAAGTGAATAAGCACCAAATTATTAGTGACAAGAAATATGAAGGTATTTTAAGAATGATCATTGGTAGTAACACAGTCCAGAGTTGATTGCTTCATTATAAATGAAGAAACAAGGAACTGGCAGTAAAAAGTACCAAGACAAACCAATGAGATTTTTTCTTGGTAATTGATGTTAATATATTCATGGATAAATATTGTTCATAGCATAACTACAAAGATTCAAGGCACAAAAAGAAAAAAAAAAAAATATATATATATATATATATCCGATTCGTTGAAATCCTAGTGAATCGTCACAACACAAGTTTGACTTTGATCGTTTTAAATTTTTGAATAGGAACCTTTTAGGCAGAGCATGCCCTTTCTTGGTCACCAAGACCAAAAATATTATTGTTAAGGACTTGTGTGAAAACCTATGAAGCACGAACACTCCTCTTAAGGGTCCCGTATCCGTGTCGGATACTTTTCGGATACCGACACCCGTGTCCGAGGCTCGGACACGTGTCCGACACTTCTGTAAAGTGTCCAAATATTATTTTTTATTGGACACACGTGTCCGAGACTCGGACACACGGTCCGACACTTCTGTGAGATAAAATTTATTTTCTCTCACTCCTCTCAGTCTCTCCTCTTCTTCAATTATCTCTTTTCATGAACAAGATATATATATATATATATATATATTTAAGTTACATAAACAAAACTTTGTAAAAGAGTGAAAGTATATATGTTTATTCATATACATATTTAGTTTCTTATAGTTATGTCTCTTCTACACATTTTCGTTTGGAATTTGGATCAACAATATTTTTCATTTATTTTCTGTTTTGTCTTGTCCATATTTTTCTTATAACAGAGATGAAATTATTGAAATTGATTCTGTTCTTTGTTGTTGTTTTATTTATCTGTACAAGATTCTAGTAATTATATTTTGAATATATATATATATATATATATATATATATATATATATAATTTTATAGGCGTATCCCCGCCGTGTCCGTGTCCTATTTTTTTGAAATTTGTCGTGTCGCCGTATCCGTGTCGTATCGTACCCGTGTCCCGTATCCGTGTCCGTACTTCATAGGTAAAAACATTAGTAAAATATGTCCAATGAAGATTTAGAATTGCCTCGATATCAAAGCAAATATACACAATTATTCTTTTGTATTCTTTCACCTTGTTGAATTTTTTTCATATTTTTTCATAATAATATTAAATTTGTTGATATTTTAAAGGTTATTATAAAAAGTGATTCCTATAAATCAATTATATCGAGTGTCATTATGTCAACATGTGCTAGTGTTGGAGTTGCTCTACACAATCAACTGGATTTGATACCAATTGTGGTAGCGGAAACGCAAAATAAGCAACGCTGTTCAAGGAATAAATAAGCAATCACGAAAAAAAAAAAAAAAAAAAAAAAAAAAATCACACATAAGAACACAAGATATATATGGTTCATCCAAATCTTAGGACTACGTTCATGGAGCACACCGAACAAATTCACTATGAAGAAGATGAAGAATTACAATGGAGAATTTTCTCTCAATCTCTCTCAATTGCTCTCTCTTGTATTGGTCAATCACACAACAGGTATGATGATCTTCTCTTTTTTCTTCTCTCTATTTTTACCACACTCTAAGATCTAATTATAGTTGATATATATAGCCCCAAATAATTTGTCCTACAAGAACTTGGCTTTTATAGAGTCCAAAACCAATAAGGAATCAAAAATAGATCAGGAAACAGAATTTTCAATATAATTAAATCTTCCTAAAAATTAGTCAGACTCCACAAAGCCACAATAATCTCCCACTTAGAGACTGGAGCACTTATAAACTCATTCCATCTTCTTCTCATCCATGTCCCATGTATGTCGGTGCGTTTCTCTCTGTCTTCAAGCTATAAAACCAATTGAAGCTGCGCACAGCTTCAGTTTCTCCATGGTCACTGTCTTGGTCAACATGTCAACCGGATTCTTGGTGCTAAGTGTTTGCTCAAGTGTCAACACCCCATCTTCTAACAAAGATCTGATGAAGTGATACCGACATCATATATGCTTGGTCCTTGAATGAAATGCTAAATTCTTTGCCAGATGTATCGCACTTTTGTTTCAAAGAACCAGGTGCGTTAGTGAGTAATCCGAAAACTGACCCGATAACGAATCCTAGATGCGGAAGCAATGAAAAAGAAGAAGTCTTTAGAGATGAATACCACCTCTAAGATGCCAAAGTGACTTAGTCACGAGACTCAAAAGGAAACAAATGCGGAAGTTGGGGTTTAAAACAGTCAAAAATGCCACTAGGGGTAAAATTATCATTTCAAATATAAATGGATGCAACCGTGCATACCATTGGATACACAATGAAAAATTAATAAACTTTGACTCAAAAATCACTTGATTTGTAGTTAAAACGAAGAAGATATGAATTTCTGAAGTTTTACAAAAAAGTTGCCAAAATGTGCTTAGTACGATCAATTTGGCTCCGAGCAGTTTTTTTTTTCCGAAAACACGTGATTTTCAAGGCTAAAACGAGACTTTTTAGAAAAAAAAATTGTGAATAAACCCTCCCCCCCCCCCCCCCTTAAAATTGAGTCTTTGATCAACTATGGTCCAAACCAAAAATAAAAAGTAACGTAAAATGACCAAAATGCCCCCGAGTGCAGGGTATGTCAAGAAGAAAAAACATTTGGCTACAAGTAGTAATTTTTCGAAAACACTTGATTTTCAGGGCTAAAACGAGACATTTTGGAAAAAAATTGTGAATAAACCCTCCCCCCCCCCCCCCCCCCTTAAAATTGAGTCTTTGATCAACTATGGTCCAAACCAAAAATAAAAAGTAACGTAAAATGACCAAAATGCCCCCGAGTGCAGGGTATGTCAAGAAGAAAAAACATTTGGCTACGAGTAGTAATTTTTCGAAAACACTTGATTTTCAGGGCTAAAACGAGACTTTTTGAAAACAGTTTGTGAAGAAACCCTCCCCTAAAAATGAGTCTTCTGATCAACTATGGTCCAAACCAAAAATGAAAAATAATGTAAAATAACCTAAATGCCCCCGAGTGTAAGGTATGTCAAGAAGATAAAAGCATGTTGAAAAATGACATCCTTTACATACATAGAAAGTTCTTCGCCCTTGGCCTCAATACATACAAATTAAAATAACATCAAAATATAGTACTTAAATTCATATTACACATCCAAAGGGAAGCAAGGCATGTTTCTAAACAAGTTATAGATTAACTACTTCAAAAGAGCTATATCATGCCAACATTTGCATGTCAAAAATATACAAAAGGTATTCAAATGAAACTCAAGCCAAGCTAGGGATGATGAACATCCAAGAAGAGTGTCTCCTTGCCTGAAAAACAATGATCAACTAGGGTGAGTAATTTGAATTACTCCGTAGGAGGATGTATATGCGTATAACCTAAAGTTTTAAAAGTCTTAAAAGTGTAATATAAACAAACACATGTGGATCATGCTTCCAAATGTCTAGTTTCAAGGTGAAGCTAGGGGATCATCCTAAAACTAACTTTGAAACATTTTAACTATAATCCACAACATAGGAGTATGCTAAACCAATTAAGAATATCAAGTACCAAACCACGAGTTACAATTATAAATTGGTTGTCAACTGAAATTAAATTATGAAATCACATAATAGAATACTTT